ATGTTCGGATGTTTTGGTGGTCACGTGACCGTACTCGGCGTCGGACTCTGGGACCGGGTCGACCCGGTGACCTGAGTGACTCGAGTGTCCGATCCAAAGTCTCATGAGGTCCGCATCTCGACGCGCGCGACTCGTCTCCCGTCGAATCTATTGCGCGCGCAGATTTCTGTCCGATGGCCGAACACCAATCACCAAGAGGGTATCCTACATATAGGTAGCTCGAGCTGTACGTACGTGGGCATTCTCAGCATAAATGAAGCGCACTGAGCCACTGCATGAGCATGCTGAGATCTCATTATTGAAGCACATTGCGCACTGGTTTATGAAGAGTAGGATATACAGTTTGAGCTTCACTAAGCAGCTTCAGCATTGTGCGCAGGTGTCACATCGAATATAACATCAATCACATTCTGGTCGATGGCCGCCATTTCCCTGCCATACAGGCTGCATGTCTGATTTCAAATCTAGCCGCTCAAAATCAAATATGACGATGTTAGACATCTCCAGCTTCTTGGAACCCCCTCAGCTGGGGCTGAGTCTGGCGTGAGCTGCTAGCTTAGAGTGCAAATAACAATCTAAGCCATCTGATTGAGCTGTCGCAGAGAAGCAATCACGCTCTAGCTCCTCAGCAAGCAAGGAAGACAGACAGTGAATTGAGCTTGAAGGGCGGAACCGGTTGGGCAGGGAATCTTCGCGCAGATTACAACATTGCGGCGTGACTCACTTAACTTACTGTGCCACCCTTTCTGGGAAGCGACATTGAAGAAGCAAGCACGCAAAGTGAGAAGAAGGTCTCGAATCGGCCCTGGCATAAGAGAGGGGAAGGACCCTCACAGGATGAAGACCGTCTCTCTCTAGCAGCCTGCGTTTTGAGCCTGGGACACGTGTACCGATCTGAGGCCATGGCGGGCCTCCCCCGGAAGCTGGAGCCCCTGGCGCCGGAAGATCAGGACCGTCCAGCTGGCGACGACTTCTTCAGCCAACTGGAGGGGGCGGTCAGCAGCCGCAAACTGGTCGCTCCCCCGCTGCTCAAGTCTGCGATGCCACCCCTCATCAGCAGGGACGCGCTTTTCACGCAAGCGATTCCCTCGGGGGTCAGCTCGGGCATGTTTTACCGCTCCCCGACCAACCGCATCGGGTCGTTCTACACCCCCAGCGCGGTGGCATTGGACGCGGTCGAGCTGTCCCGAAAGGGGGGGGTCTCTGAGCCCGAATCTCCCAGGTCTCCGACGGGGAGGACTTTAGCGACCGCGAGGACCTTCCGCGACTCCCCCCCCGTGAGCGTGACCCCCCCGCTGCTGCGGCCGCTCCAGCTGGAGAGGCCCCTGAGCAGCCAAAATATGCGGGGATCCCCCAAAGGGTCAATCCCCGCGTCCCCGAACGGACGCACCGGGAGCTTGAGTCTGCTGCAGTTCACGGAAGCGAGGACGCGAAACGGGTCACTCGAAAGGGCCATGACGCCTGGAGGGGGGAGCCCGAAAACTCTGGGGGGGAGCCCGAGGCTGGGGAGCGGGACGTGGGCGTTTGGGGGGGGAAGGGAGCTTTTGGAGCCGCTCGAGAAAGGCACGATCGGGGATGAGGAGGAGGACGACGAGGCGGCAGATGAAGCGAGGGAGATGCTTTTCCCAAAGATCGTAAGAGTTAGCTCATAGATTCCGATTGAGACATTACTTTTAGCGGAGCTGCATTGCTTGAGGCACGCACTTCGAACTGCGGCTCTGGTCTTTATTGGCTGGTCTCCAAGATGTGCCTGACCTTGAGGAACAACGTCTATGGTATACAGGCTGAGGATCCGTGTTTAACGGACGGAATGAAACTGTGTCAGGACGCCGTTTGCCCCCAGCCGCAAACCTTGAGTCTCCAGCGGATTGGAACGCTGAGTTGGTTACAGCTGTCTATCCAAGGACTGCGAGCTCGCTAATGTGGAAAAGACGACTTTCAGGACAGGCAGTTTTCAATAAAAAACAGCCTTTTTGCCTTAGTGACAGAGAACAGCTGCAGATTTTCTGAGAGGTGGTAAGCGCGGATTTGAAGGTGGCTAAAAGCGGAGAGGCACGTTTGAGTCACATCTTTCAATTGAAGCTTTATCTATCACAAACATCGAACTTGACCTGGTACTGTGGGATTGCGGGACTGTCTTAAAGCAAAGTTTTGAATTGTTGAGCTAATGGTTGCAGGTCAACACTCCGCGCGAAGCGCGGCGTCGTTCTCCCCAGGAAGAGAAGGCCAAGCGGCCAATGACAGCTGGCACGAGCAAACGAGTAGCGGATGAAATCATCCGTTACCAGTGGTATATCCAGGAGGGTTTGGACGACGACGCGGTGGTTAGTTATAACGATCGGTGGTTGGAGAACGCAAACCGAGCTCTGGGCGGGGCGCATGTCTCCCGAGGGCTCAAAGAGGAACAAGTGCTTGACACCATCCGGCGGGTCGAGAGGGAGGTTCGGGCTGACTATACGCTCAGTGTCAAGAAGGCCATTTTGGACTACAGCCTGGAGGATGCGGCCGAGCGGCGACGGCTAAACCTGGTTTCGCTAACCGGCATTGTTAAGGTGCTAGAGTCGGCCTCGGGGGTAAGCCGGAAGCGGCGGGTGGTGCAGATTCTGCCCGAGGAGTGGCGGGAGGCGGTCTCCGGCGCAAAGAGGCACCTCGTACCGATTCTCCATTCGTGCAGCCAGCTGGTTTTGGACCTGAACGCGCTCTGGCAGCGGGAGTTTGAAAACCGGCTCCTGCTCGACTTTGCGAGCGACGGCTTTTTTACCAACAAGCCGTTCACGCTGACGTCATTCCTGGGCTGGCAGCGCGACCACGTGGACCGGGTTAGGGAAACCCTGTGCCAAACTTGGATTCCGGCCGCGAGCAAACTGCTGTTTTCCCATTCTTCGGGAGGGACGCACCGCGCAAAACTGTACGGCTCTGTCGCGGTGCTGATGTCGAACCACCTGAGGGGCCTCGTAGAGGCGACGGTCGCAGGTTTCCAGGGGTTCTTGCTGCAGTACGGGCGCCTGGCGAGGCCTCTGACGTCATCGGCCGATGGGAACGTGGAGGGGCTGACGTCACAGCTGCGGGCGGTGCTGACGATGGACCTGGTGGTGGAGCGGGGGAGCTACAAGCTGGTGCCCAGCTTCGAGCAAGTGCAGGAGGGCCTCGTAAGTCAGGAGGCTGTGATTATCGCTTGCTGTTTTGGGCGTTCGTGCAAGCAAACATGGCCTCTGATGAGAGAGCCCAGAATAGTGGAGGGCCCCGTGAGTCGGGAGAGGGTATCTATTGCCTGCTGTTCGGGGCGATTCTTGTGGGCAAACAAGGCTTCAGAGATAGAGCTACCTAAGAAAAAAACAGGAGGGGCCCGTAGGTTGGGAAGTTTGACTATTACCTGCTTTCTGGGTTGTTTGCGGCCACCAAACAGGCCTCAAGGATGGGAAAGTCCGGGCAAGTGTAAAGGGCCTGATGAGTCGAGAGGGTGCGTTTCAATCGTGCAATTTGAGGAGTCGGTGGCAAACAGGGCGTCAATGGGTTCGAGTACAGGGCCTTGTACTGACCTAGAGGTGTCTGCAGATTGAGAGGTGTTGGAAGGCGACGAGGGCCTTGACAGGGCCTCCTTTTTGCACGTCGAAAAAGTCAGTCAGTTGCGTTTGATCTCGAACTGAAGTACGGCCAAGAGGGCCTTAGGCGTGAAAAGGCTCAGAAACTCCAGAGGGGCTAGTGATCCGGACGGACGAGATGGTTCTATACCATTTGAGGACGTGGCAGACGAGGCCTTAGGACTGGGAGAGGCCGACCTGTCTCTTTACTTTCTCTCTGTCCACTTTACTCTACGGTTTTTGTGACGGCAGAAAGGCGCGTACAGTGTTTCGCACTGTGACTTCGCTTCGATGAAGCGTGCGCTTCTACCCTTTACACACGAATCGAAGATGGTCCGAGTCTGAGCCAGATTCGATACAAACGCTTCCGTACTGCCCTTTCCGACAATCAAAATTCTTTGCAAAAGTGAGGAACGATTCGCAGCTTACATCTGCGAGTATTGGTCTCGATTGAACGAGCATCAGAGACTCGTGACTACAGAACGAGTTCACAACGGTTTGCAAATCCGAATGATTAAACGCCGCAGACTGACAAAACATCTCACCCTCATTTACCCCGTGCTTGCCAGCTGTCCGTCCTCGACCTCGCGATCACCAAGGCCGGTACGATCCCCCGGGCGGACGTGGAGCTCCGCCAGGGGCAGCACGGTACCCCCCTGCCCCCCGACCCGGCCCCGGTTTGCCTGGCGTCGGTACGTACCGACGACGGCCCGGTTCAACTCGCGCGCGTGGCGGTTCAGGGCGTCGTCGCGGCGAACCGCGGCGCGCCCGCGCAGCTGATGGACGCGTTTGAGAGGTTCAAGGATTTGGCGGTCATGGACGCGGAAGGCTTTGCCAAGGACTTCGTCAAGGGGGGGCAGGTAAGCGGGTGTCTGAGAGCCCCCCACTCCGAGATCCTGGCATCTTTTGAGTTTCGAGGGCCGCAACTGTGTGTCCTTCTAACGAAAGCAGAATGCAAGCAGCTCTCTTCTTGCACAAACAGTCGCTGCAAAGCACGACTCAACCGAAGTAAAGCTGTGCAAACATTTCTCTAGTGAATCTTATTTTAATGCTAAGAGGTTTATCGTCTCATCAAGATGGCACCCGGAAGACGGGTTGCGTTAGTTGGATGATATCGGTAGGTTCGGGTGAGGAGCGCGTGGACTTTTGGGTTCGAATTTCTACTCTAAGTGTTCGAGAGACTCGAACCTGATGTAAAGGGCACCTTCTTAAGTGATATAAACGGACCAGCATGCAACATCCCGTTCTCCAACTTATCACTTACCATTCCGCTTCCGTTCCGTTCCGATCCGCAGCGCCTGCTCAAGGAGTACTCCGCGGTCATCGACGACTTTCGCAAGCGCGCGGCCGAGGCGCTCGCGCTGTGCGCGAACGAGGTGGAGTGCGGCCTCGTCGTCGTGCGCTGCGAGGAGCTCAAGGCCGCGCTCGCCGCCAAGGCGGAGGCCGTTGCGGGCCTGCTGCTCGAGCAGGTACGCAAAACCCTTGAACTTTCAGACCCTTTGACCCTTAAAACCCTTGAACCTTTGAAGCTTTGCCACTCAGCTTTCCTTGAGCGAGCCGCGCTCGCCGCCAAGGCGGAGGCTGTCACGGGCTTGCTGCTTGAATAGGTGCGGCCAACTCAATCCTTAAGCCTGAAACCTCATTTCGGCTGATGGCGAGAGTTGCTGACACAGTCCAGTGTGCGCTTATTTGGGGGCAGTAGCAGGACTGCTGCTGGACTTAATTCTGATGCCTAAAGCACGCTCACATCACCAGCCAAAAAGGGAACGAACGAAAATAATGCAGGAAACTCGTCAATGGATGAGTACAGATGCTTTTTTCCGGTGGGTGAGTCCTTTGAACACACGTTGCGCGCGCGCAGGTGCTGGTGGCGATGCGCGAGCAGCACGAGGATGTGGTGGAGCGGTACGACCGCATCGCGGCGGAAGTGTCTAAGCTGCCCAACAACTCCGAGGACGTCGTTCGCCTGCGAAAGTGAGCGCGCGCGGCCGCAGGTCGTTTAGGACGACCGACGGTTTAGAATTCGTTGAATCGCCAGCAAAATTTTGGGAGGACGGTGGAGATGCTTTATTTGGACAAGTGGTGAGGGCTGAGGTTGTAATCATTACCCTGATTGCGTATATTAACGTCGAAAATTTGTCGGATGCTTCAATGGCTGTGAGATCACGCACGCGAGTCCAGCGATCGAATGTTGATAACAAGCGCTTCCTGTATTTTTACTACGTCGAGGACAGCTGTCGCAGCTTGTACAGTGAACTGCCTTCAGAAATCTTGCTTGTACCTGAGTTGCTCAACTCAAGCAGAGCGTACCGGCAAGAGTGTGTAAATAGTAGTGACTGGAGTTACTTCCTCATCTTCCCCCCTCTTTTATTTTTGTATTCGTGACACAAATCCGGACCATTGACAGGTACGTCGGCTCCTGCCCGGGTGAGATGGCCGCGCTCGAGAAGGCGCTCGCGGACAGCGCCGCGCGCGCGCAGTTCTTGGACTCCTACGAGTATGACGTCCCCGAGGAGGACTTCCGCCTCATGATGGGCGCGCGCGAGTGGCCGAAAAAGCTGGTGGCCGTACTGGAGATCCACGTGGCAAAGATCGAGGAGGAGCACGAGCACTTTGAGAACGCGCTCAAGGCGCGGCGCGCGGACTTCTTGGAGCTGCTGGCAAAGTGAGCGCGCGCGCTGGAGTGGCTTACTGCGATCCTCGTTCTATCAAGCTTCTCTTACTTATGTAACATAAAGCAGAAGTTTTTCACTCTCGAACTTATTATCCCCTCTGAATTCTGCTAGGCAATCCTCTCTTCGTAAAGTGCCGCCCGCGCTAAGTTTAAGGTTCTTACAGGTCAATCTACCCATCTAGTGGGTGCACCAGAAGAGCTGTCGTGAAAGTCTTGGCAAGGCAGCAACTATCAGGAACTACTACCACTTGGAATCTCAGCCTGATAGCACCTTGACAATCTTTCTTCGGATCGCTGACGCTCTTTTTTTAAATTGGGGCCCAGGCTCAACGACCGCGTGCGCGCGTTCGACAAGTACGGCGAGGTCGAGCGCACGGATCAGTATGCGGAGGCCGCGCGCGCGCTCGACGACGAGCTCGCGCGCGCGCGCGACACCGCGGAGGCGATCAACGCGGAGGAAACGCTGTTCAGCCTGCCAGTCACCAAGTTTGCGCAAATCGCCCACATGAAAGACGGACTGGATCCGTATCTGAAATTGTGGGGCACAGCCGCCGGCTTCAAGACTAGTGAACAAGAGTGGATGAACTCGCCGTTCATGACGCTGGACCCGGAGAAGATCGACAATGACGTGAGTCTGAGACTGCTTCGTTTTCTGTTCGAAATTCTCTGTCGAACAGGAGTTCTTTCGTTGTTGAACAGAAGTGGATGAAACCGCCCGTTCATTATGCTGTAATCGGAGAAGATCGACAACGACGTGAGTTTGAGACTGCTCCGCTTTCTGTTCGACTTCTATTTCCGAACGGGAGTTTTCTCGTCGAGTAGGCGTCGCTGACATTGCCGTTCATAATGTGACGCTGGACCCCAAATGATCGACAGCGACGTGAGTGAAAGACTGCTTTTTCTCTTCGAGTGTTCTCGTCGAATCGGAGTGGATGAACCCGCCGTTCATGACGCTGAATTCGGAGACGGTCGAAAACGAGGTCAGTAGAAGACTGCTCCCTACGTTTCAAGCTCTTTCGTCGATCAGAAGGGAATGAACTCGCCGTTCATGAAGCTTGACCGGAGGGAAGAGACGCTTCAACGAGGTGGGACTCAGACTTGTTGCATTCAAATCTTGTATCGTTTCTCGGATGTGGATGCAAGTTTCCGACTTCTGGAAACAGCGATGGGGAATTCCAGAGCACGTGCGGCTTCGTGGGACGCTGGGAAAAAGTGAGTAGCTTGAGAGAGTTTTGTTCTCAGCCGGTGATCGAAAGTACGGGAGAATCCATGTCACTAGGAGCTCCAACGCGACATGGCGTCAATTTTGCCGTTCACAATTTTGAAGGAGAGCCTTGCCAAACGTCCAGGGCCATCGTTCTGTAAAACCACTGGAGGGGCTGTGTTTCGACGCCGGACAGTCCGGACGATCAAACTATCATCCTATCGTCGTAGTCTTAGGACCCATTCCTCCGGGCCATCAAGACACCAAACCTTAAACCCTCTTTAACTTGCATTTCCAATCTCTCCCTTCTCCCAGGTGCAAACCATGTGGCGCACAGTATATAAGCTGGTGAAGCAGCTGGGCGACGCGCCCGACCTGGCGGAGCCCGCGCGGGTCGCCGGCGCGGTGAAGGCGCAGCTGGACAAGTTCAAGCTGCTGCTGCCGCTCTTCCAGTGCCTCTGCAACCGCGGGCTGCGGCCGCGCCACTGGGCGCAGATCTCGGAGGCCGTCGGATTCGAGATCAAGGGCGAGGATGGCACCACGTTCAGGCAGCTGCTCAGGCTCAAGGTGAGCGGACGGACACGCTGGTAGATCCACTCTCCACTTTAGGACCAATTGACTTGAGAAACGAGTTGTCAGGGCGCTAAAATAGAACCCAACCGAAAGAATCACGCGCCCCGCACCCGCTCTAACGACCAAGTAATTCCACCCTTCTCCTGGCCGCCTGTCTTCAGTAAAATGCCTCCAAAGTGCAATGTCTGTTACGACAGTTGAGTCGACTGGTCAGGTCACCGAGGTTTAGGCAGCTCATAGGTTGATCTGGTGCAAGGGCAGGCTGAGCGAGTCGCGCTATCGGATTCGTGCTTGAATCAGACCTCGTATTTACCACCCTCCGTCAAGATTATGGGAGTCCGCCCAGTACAATGAAGCAGTAAGAAATTTGAATCCAGATTGAGGACTTCCGCTAAGCAACCAATGCTCAAGGATAGCAGAAAAAGATAACGCAGCATTACTAGCATGAACAAGAGCATATTTCGCAGGGGCGCCGTTCAGGACCCCTCTGGACTCTTTGAAAACTGCTCGAGTCTCAGCCTTTGTATCTTCGGACGGCAAAGCTGTTTAAGAGAGCCTGAAGTCCGTCTTACATGCCCACTCAAAACAAAGACTTTCGACGTCCCGATGTCAATATCTGCTCACGCTGCGACACGTGGCTGCCAGGTGGACGACCACATGGCGAAGTTGGAGGAGACGAGCGAGGCGGCCAGCAAGGAGTTCTCACTGGAGAAGAGCCTCGACAAGATGCTCTCCGAGTGGGAGCCCCTCAAGCTGGAGGTAGGTGGAACATTGGGGCTTTGTGTAGGTATCAAGGAAAAGACAGAGCGATGTGGCTTCATTCTTTGGTGAAACTATCAATCGTCGGAAGATGCTTTTGGAATTACTCTTAATGTCTCTCCTTGCTCTCACTAGAACCTGGCGAAGCGGGGTCTTTACTGCCCAAGTCGTTGCGATCCTGAACCTCAACTCAGATTGAAGCTGATAAGCTCTTCACATTCATCCTCCATTGGCCTCAGAATCTGAGTGGTCTGATTTCACTTGAGGAGCCTTCTCAGCCGGGCCCATTCTCATAAGCTTTGAACGCGGAACCCCGCCAGGTGACGCCTTACCACGAAACCAATAAGTCCACCCCTCAAACGGACCGAGTTGCTGCAACAAGAAAGGTGGCCAGAAGGCTAGATCAGTAACTCTTAAACCCCTTATTCTTGCAGGTGGCACCGTACCGCGAGACCGGTACGTACATCCTGAAGGGCGGTCCGATCGACGAGGCGCAGGTGTTGCTGGACGACCACGTGGTCAAGGTCCAGACCATGTCCGCATCGCCGTACGCAAAGCCGTTCGCGGACAGGATGACCAAGTGGGAGAGGAAGGTAAGTCGTCCGGTAATCAAATAGCAGATTCCCATTACCGTATCTGGTAATTCCTTGCGCCTTGGCTCTGCTCCGGTCCTCGGTTTTCTGCTCGGCTGTTTCCTTCTTGAGAGCAGCTGAACGGCTCAAAAGCGCTCTTGTTCCCATGACTACGTGTTCAGTACGGTAAAATAAGATTCTACCAAGTCAGATCAGGCAGTCAAAACCGGAAGCGAGGTGAAAGCGTATCTTTACAGCTTAGCTCTTGAGACCACGTAGAATGCGTCAAAGAACGTCGAATGGTCGCATTCGCTCGCTGGCACAATTTAAGTCGAGATAAACCCTTTTAACTCGCAACAAGGCATTCAAGTCCGTTCATTATTTCTGTCAGCGTTCTGCCAAATGTCTTGGAAGATTTATATGGTTTGACCACGTGGCCGCCCTTTTGCAGGTGCTGGGCATGCAGGAGATTTTGGACGCGTGGCTCAAGGTGCAGGCCACGTGGCTGTACCTGGAGCCCATTTTCGGCAGCGAGGACATTCTGCAGCAGATGCCCGAGGAGGGCCACCGCTTCCGCGACGTCGACCGCGTCTGGCGGCGCATCATGGAGGAAGCCTCGCGCAGCAACTCATTCCTCGAGGTGAGGGTTTAGGGTTTTTGTGGGTTTGTTTTATATGCTTTGTGGGTTGTCGTGACGTCAGCGAAGGACATAAGTGACGGTAATCTTGTTCCAGCGGGCTGTGGAGTCTGGCGGCGCATCATGGAAGAGGCCTCGCGCAGCAACTCCTTCCTCGAGGTGAGGGTCAATGATCGGTTGCTGACGGATTCGCAGCTTGGATTGCGCAGCGTTGAATTCAGCAGGTGCTCGCGCGGGTCTTGAATGACCTGCAAAACATTGAACGGTGGTGGTACTGTAAGAATTATCGTAATAGACTAATCTAATCCTGTGAGTTGAGTTTTTGCTGCGCCCTAGGTTTTAATGAAGAATCTGCATAATAGGACGGAAACGTGATTGATTCCAGAATGCGCTTGAGTCAGCCAGAAAGTGCAAGCAGGAAGCTTGGAAGCCCAAGCACCTAGAAACGACTCAATATGTACATTTGAAGCAATCTTGTGGACAAACCAGTGCGGATACATACGCAGTGGTAGCTTATCAAGGACAAGCCACCAACTTTCGACCTTTCGAACTTGAAGCCGTGCCAAAATCCTGTAGGTCTGATCCCTCTTCTAAAACCTCAAACCTTTTGCGCGCGCTCTGCAGGCAACGGACGTGCCCAACATGGCGGCGGACCTGACCAAGGCCAACGAGTCGCTGGACATCATCCAGAAGGGGCTCAACTACTACCTGGAAACCAAGCGGCTGGCCTTCCCGCGCTTCTTCTTCCTCTCCAACGACGAGCTGCTGGAGATTCTGAGCGAGACCAAAGACCCGCTGCGCGTGCAGCCGTTCCTCAAAAAGTGCTTCGAGGGCATCCACAGCCTCGAGTTCAAGGTGCGCGCGCGCGTGGCTATGACGGTTGCTTGAACTTGGAGACACAAGCTTTGGCTTAATTTCTCCGTGATGAATTCAGGACTTGTGTTTGTGAGCTTCAGATTTATAAAAAGAATGGAGTGAGTTTCGAAGATGGGCTTGTGGCACTTTGCGAAACAAGTTGTGCAACGTGGGAGCTTCTACTTTCTGCAGACTTTTACGCCCATATACAAGATCGAAGTTGTGCTGCTTTTCGATCTTTGAGTCAAAAGCTTAGGTTTGACATCCCGCTTTTCTTCAAGGACTTGGGTGCCTCAAAGTTCCCTCTCTGTCTGCCATTCTGTCTGCCATGATTTCGTTCCCTTGGCGGATCTGAATGTTTTCGAGATGTATAGAGCGCGCGCCGCTGCTCGTCGAAGCTGACGTCACGCTGGCGTCGTTTGCAGGACAACATGGACATCGCGGCGATGTTCAGCGTGGAGAAGGAGCGCGTCGCGTTCACGCGCACGACCAACCCGAAGGCCGCGGGCGGCAACGTCGAGAAGTGGCTCATCGAGGTGGAGAAGATGATGAAGGAGGTGGGCAATCAGGAATTACTCCTCAAATCCAACTTCTTCCTGGAAACAAAAACGAATTCGGCCGTCGGAAAAGAAAAGCTGCATTCCTTGCCAGTAACCAAATGGTAATAATGCAAAGGCTTCGAGCCGTCAGGGTTTCTGTGGGGTATAAGGATGTCCCTACTTTTGGTATCGGTCTGGAATCTTTGTGTGAATAAATGTCAAGAGACCCAGAAAGTCGGGTATCAAGTCCTACGGCCGTTGCACGCGCCAAATTCGTCACCGGAAACTTTTTCCCAAATCCGTAGCAGAAAGACTCGACAATGTTGACTGAATTCTTCACTGATCCACTCTTCCAACTACAGAGCCTGAAGGAGAGCGTGCGCAACGCGGTAGCGGCCTATGCGGTGGTGCCACGTGGCCAGTGGATCCTGCAGTGGCCGGGCATGGTGGTCCTGTGCGGCAGCCAGATCCACTGGACGCGCGAGGTGTCCGAAGCGATTCGGACGGGCGGCGCGCAGGGGCTCAAGCAGTACGAGGAGAAGTGCACCGCGCAGCTGAACGAGGTCGTCAATCTGGTGAGGGAAACTTGAAGATCGCGCCGTTTTTGTCGGCATAGTTATGCGAGAAATAACTAGGACTGAACAAACCTCCAACTTCTGGTTTCTTAAGTTGCAAAGTGCGCGTGCGAAGATGCTCGTAATGGACATATAACACGGTTTCCGGGTACTCACGACCTACTCATTACTCCTGACAAACACCATGAAATCAGAAAAGGGAGATCTTAAGCTCTTTCTACGTAGGACGAGTTTGCACCGCATATTCTGAACGCTTTCAGACCGCATGTTTGCAAAAACCTATTCAGAAGCGTCTTCGCCTTCGCTGCAACACCACATTCTTTCCAAGATTCTTACGCAAAGTTGCTTGAGGGGCGTCCCGTCCATCTAAGTGCAGATATGAAACAATTCTAGGGTGGTCCTTTCACGTTTACGACCTGGGCTGAAATCCTAATCCGCGCGCGCAGGTGCGCGGCGAGCTGGGCGCGATGGAGCGCAGCACGATCGGCGCGCTGGTGGTGATCGACGTGCACGCGCGCGACGTGGTGGCCGCCATGGCCGACGCGCGCGTGGGCAGCGAGAACGACTTCGAGTGGCTCTCCCAGCTGCGCTACGAGATGGAGGAGGGCGCGGTCGTGGTTAAGATGATCAACGCCGCCAAGAACTACGGTTACGAGGTGGGTTTGGAGAGCGGTCTACATAAGGGGGTTATCAGCGGCGGCTTGAAATAGAAACGAGTTCACAGATGTTCTCCCAGGTTCTTTGGGGCGTTGTTGTGCTTATAGGCGTGATTTACTGGTGGAGAGGATTGGAATGTGTTGGACAAGGCAGAGGCAAAAGTGGGATTAAGAATGCAATCTCTTGGGTTAAATCTGGGGTGATTTCGTGCATTTGTTAGGTGCTCGGAATCGCTTCAAAGACCGCCTCACCACGGAAATTCAGACCCAACTTGCCGACCCGTTTCCCTGCTTTGTGCACCCACCTGATCAAATAAATTCTCACGTTTTGTCATTGAGCTTTTCCGAGCGCTTCCTTGCAGCCGCAATGAAATTGTAAATTCAACAGGTTTCACCACACCAAAGAAAAGTAAGTCCAAGACTCCCTTTCTGCCTCTACTGTAAGGCTCGCTTCATTAACCTGCTTTCTTTTTGTTTTGCAGTACCTGGGTAACAGCAGCCGGCTGGTCATCACCCCCCTTACCGACCGTTGCTACCGTACGCTCATGGGCGCTCTTCATCTCAACCTGGGCGGAGCGCCGGAAGGCCCGGCCGGAACCGGAAAGACGGAAACCACCAAGGACCTTGCGAAGGTGGGCGCATAAGTCTCGCCTCTGTGCATATGCGGTTGTCCCTTCCTCGATTCTGATGATGGTAACCGGTAAAATAAAACCGCTTGAGCAACAACAACCTGTCTCGAATGTTGTAAGGGTCCTAACTCGCCCCCTCAGACCAGATTTACTACGTCTTCCCTCCCTCGAGGCGCCTTTAGAGCACTCCTCAGGATTCGCTTCTTCGCATTGCTCGGTCGTTTCTCCCTCTTGCAACGCACTCAGAACCCCAGACCCTGAATTCTAGCCCAGAACCCCCAAAGCGTAAGCCCTAAAAGAATTCAAACCCTAAAGCTCAAATCCTTCGAGAGCTGACCCGCGCTCGCGGCCGCGCGCTCCGCAGGCGCTGGCGATGCAGTGCGTGGTGTTCAATTGCAGCGACGGGCTGGACTATCTGGCCATGGGCAAGTTCTTCAAGGGGCTCGCCAGCAGCGGCGCCTGGGCCTGCTTCGACGAGTTCAACAGAATCGACCTCGAGGTGAGGAAAAAGACGGGACTCTGCAATGTTGATAACTGTTCTGATCTAGATACAAGGATTTTTTGAATCCCGCAAGGATCTGGTATGGAGAAGTAAGGGCTTGTGCAGCAGCGGGCACCCATATGGCCCTCCGAAGTGTCGTTGAAGTCCTGAAACACCTATTGTCTAAGTCAACTCTACTCCATTAATCGAACTTACTTGGTCAAGGAAGCATGCGTCTGTACGGAAGTATAGAGGAGCGCTTAACGACTAAGAGTCATTAAGCATAGGATTTCTGCCACCTTTCTTGAGGTGACACGCAGTATACCTGAATACGACTGGTCCCACTCCTTCTGAGCTCCTTCAGCACGTCATAGAAAGAGATCGTCTCTTTCCACTCTCCCTCGGAAACGCCTAAATGTAACTGCAGATCAAACGGCGACCTTTTGCCCGCGCAGGTGCTGTCCGTGGTCGCCCAGCAGATCCTGACGATCCAGCGTGCCATCATGGCCGGGGTGACCAGCTTCATGTTTGAGGGCACGGAGCTTCCGCTCATTCCGACGTGTTCCGTTTTCATCACCATGAACCCCGGGTACGCTGGACGGAGCGAGCTGCCCGACAATCTCAAGGCGCTCTTCCGTCCGGTGGCCATGATGGTGCCCAACTACGGAATGATCGGGTGAGCGGAACGGGTTGGCTGTGAATTGCCTTCGTCCGTTTCTTGGACCATTGGCAAAGGCACGGGCATATTCCATGCTGGTAAATGCACATTTAAGCGGCCCATCTGCAAGAATTCAAGTGGTTCCAAAGTATGTCAGGCTTCGCAGACTTTTGTAATGTTATATTTGCAAAGAATATCTACTACATGCGACAGAAAACTTTCTCTTCCTTTCTTCCTCAAAATTTTGTGTGTACTTTCTAAGTGACACTCAGGTAGCGTCGCATTCCAAAGAGGATCATTTCTTGCTGGCTTTGTGGTAACGCATAGCTCTTCGTTCCCGCAGCGAGATCATTCTGTACTCGTACGGCTACCTGCGCGCGCGCGACATGGCGCGCAAACTGGTCGCGACCTACCGGCTGTGCAGCGAGCAGCTCTCGTCGCAGGATCACTACGACTACGGTGAGAAACACTGCATCGGATTTTCCCTCTGGCACTAGAAATCTAAGCTGAAGCATAACCGTAGCGCGAGAAACGATGATGAACATAGTAAGTTGCTGTTTGTGGGTACAACAGAACTCGCTTCTGGATTTCCAATCATTTGATTGCACATATTTGAGGCACACACGCACCGTTGGGAATTCTCAATTGGTACATTGTATGTCTCAGAAATCTTGTCTCAATTTTCACAAACCTTTGTCAGCAAAGGAACCCCTTTATTCCTCCACAACATGAAATACTCTCGGCGAATCGCAATCAACCATACCTAACCCATTTAATCTCCGAACCCTGCAGGCATGCGCGCGGTGATCGCGGTGCTGCGCGCGGCCGGCAACCTGAAGCGGCGCTACCGCGACGAGGATGAGGCGGTCCTGGTGCTGCGCGCGATCCGCGATGTGAATCTGCCCAAGTTCTTGAGCCACGACATTCCGCTCTTCGAGGGCATCATGGCGGATCTCTTCCCCGGAGTCACCCTTCCCAAGCCCGACTACGAGGTGAGGGGAATTTTTGCCCGGGCGTAGGTGCCACCCTTGAGCCCGGACGGAATGACTCGAAGGACGGATGGACTCTCCTATGAGTTTGGGGAGATAGCATTCGCCGCTCGTAGGCCGGCCGAACCTTGGTCGAATCTTGCATTTCTCCAGACCTTCTGTCATGGATTCAAAAGCAAGAACCCGCTTCTATAGTCCTTCTCAGGCGGTTTAGTAGCAAAACGTGCGACCTGACAGCGCAAGAAAGGAACAGCTGAAACCAAATTAGACGAGCCGAAAACTATCTTCGTCCATTCGAAAGCTTGTGCTTCGATTCATTGGGTTCTTACGCCCTCATACTCATCCCCGGTTGGCAATCACGGAGGCGATCCGCGATAACGCGGAGCACCTGGACCAGAGGCCCTTTGCTAACCCAACTCACCGTCTAAACCAACCCTCCTTCTTCCCCGGTTGGCAATCTCCGAGGTGATCCGTGAGAACGCCGATCGCCTGGACCTCATTCCGGTGGAGTTCCTTCTTAAAGCTAGACCTTCCTCTTTCCCGGTAGGCAATTACCAATGCAATCATTGGAAACGCTGCCAGCAGAGAACTTGTTTTTGCTGGAACCTCTTTACACTCTTTCCCCCGGTAGGCGATCACAGAGGCGATCCCCGAGAACGCGGAGCGCGTGAACCTGATTCCGGTGGAGGCCTTCGACTAAACCCATCCTTTCTTTTCTCCGCTACGAATTCACCGATCCCATTCACGAGAAATCGCAACGCCGGCCTTTGTTTCCGCTGGACGCCCTTTCCTAAACCACCCTCTTCTTCGCCCGGCAGGCGATCACCGAGGCGATCCGCGAGAACGCGGAGCGCCTGGACCTGATTCCGGTGGAGGCCTTGTTCCGCAAGACGCTGGAGCTGTACGAGATGATCGTGGTTCGTCACGGGCTGATGATCGTGGGCCACTCGTTTGGCGCCAAGACCAGCATGTACCGCATTTTGGCCGGGGCGCTTACCGACCTGCACGCCAAGGGGCTCATGAACGAGCAGAAGACCAGGTGGGCGACCGGGGAATGTGACCAGGGGTTTTGAGATTTGGTTTAATAGAGATTATTAGGCTTTTAGGTTGGAAAAGGTGAATGAAAGGAGCCGGTGTTAAATTTCCTACGAATGCGACTTTGATCATTTCGAACCGTTGGCCATTTCGCTTGTGAGTCGATCATCAGCCTACTTGTTATGCAATCTCCGCAAGCAATCAAAGGCTTCGTTTATAAGTCCGCAACTAAATTGATTTTTTTTTCATTACTCGAACCGAAGGAGCAATCCCTCTTCCAATTACACCAAGTGAATAAACGGCATGTGTTTGCTCGACGTTGCCAACTCAATCTATTTCGCGAGACGGGTCGTTGCTGATACAATCCTCTCTGTCCCTTCAGGTACGAGGTGGTTAACCCGAAGTCAATAACGATGGGTCAGCTGTACGGTCAGTTCGACCCGGTGAGCCACGAGTGGACGGACGGCGTGCTGGCCAAGGTGTTCCGCCAGATGTCCGTCGACACCACGCCGGACCGGAAGTGGCTCGTCTTCGACGGACCCGTTGACGCCATCTGGATCGAAAACATGAACACGGTGCGTTGACAGACGACTTGGCGCTAAGTAATCTACCTGAGTTGGTCAGCCGCGTGTGCGATTCTTAAGGCAATATTTGCCTTTACTCCGTCACTCCTCCAGGGCCGTAGACGGGTATGGATCCAGATTATGTTCACGGCTTGTTGATAGCGCTAAATCTGGATTTGGAAAGAAGAAGCTCAACCTGGGGGTCAAGGTCAGATTAGAAACATGGGAACGGTGCGTATAGGATGTTTTCGAGGCTTCTTTCGAAAAAATAAAATCCAAATCTAAAACTGTGCGCGAATCTTTCCTCCAACTCTTTTTGAACCTGGAGCTCAAGAATCCTAGTGGAGAATGGAAATTTCCAAAATTCAGCTCGTCGTTTTTACTGTTGAACCCTAAATAGAAAGGTTGTAGAATCTGCACACAAATGACTCTCGTCGGATTCCTGGTTCTGTGAAAGCCCAAAGGAGTTGCCTGAGATCCACCTCGAGCTTCTGCTTTTATTCCAGATTCTCTACGTCTTGAGGATCCAGAACTCTCCGCGAGCTTCTGGAATCATCCCACATCCTCTATGTTTCGATATCTCGGAGCTCTCGACAGCGAAATCTCAATTCCAAGAGCATCATCCTCGGGCGACGAACCACGACAAGCAGCACTGCATGACTAGGAAAGATGCCATCCAGAACCTTCCCGAACCTGGCAAAATACGAGACCTGGACCTTTCAATAGTCCTCACAAAATCTCTCCATTGTAGGTGTTGGACGACAACAAGAAGCTGTGTTTGATGAGCGGCGAGATCATCCAGATGTCCCCCACGATGAACCTCATCTTCGAGGTCCAGGACCTCGCGGCCGCGTCGCCCGCGACCGTCAGCCGCTGCGGCATGGTCTACGTCGAGCCCGCGCAGATCGGGTGGCGCCCCATGGTCACCGCATGGATCAAAACGCTGCCGCCCACGCTCACAGAGGCAAACAGGTGAGAGCGTTACAGCTCTAATTTTGGGTTCATGTTCTGGGTTTGATCTGAATATTCTCGTTATGGGTTTGCTTTGTTGGATTTGAGGTAAAGGTGGAGCCCGCGCAGATTGGATGGCGGCCCACGGTCACCGCGTGGATCAAAACGTTGCCCGCAACGCTCACAGAGGCCAACCGGTAGGTTATCCACACTATACCATTTTTCCCGTTCCAGAAAACCTTAAGTACAAAAGCATAGGTTTTTGGGGGTCACAATACAGATCGGGTGGAGCGCCCCATGGTCACCGCGTGGATCAAAAGGCTGCCGCCCACGCTCAGCGAAGGTAATCGGTAAGAGCGGTACAGAGCGCTTGGGTCTTTATTGTCTGATCGTACGTCTAGGTTGTAGCTATGAATTTGGGTTGTGGTTATGTTTTGGGTTTGGGCGGATCGGGTGGCGCCCCATGGTCACCGCATGGATCAAGACATGGATCCCCCAACGCTCAGCGAAGCCAACCGGTGAGGTTCACGACATATAGCGTAGAGCGCTTACTGTAGGGAGCCTTACAATCCAATGGAGTGTTCGTGGAAACAGAGTATTCTGAGTGGATCAGGGGGCTGGCTGCGGTGAGTACTCGTCTTGAGAATGTGTAGGGATCAGTTTATTTTGTGGTACAGAACTGCTCTGCGTCTCGTCATCATCAATACAGGTCTGTCAACCAAACAAAAAACTCAATGCCCGTCTTAGAAATTGAATCTTTTCAGGGATTTTGCAAGCTGCTCAGCTGTTCACAAAAAGAGTTGATAATTGTTAAAAGCCCACCTCAGCTTATCTCTCTTGCTTTCCTTCACCCATCCCTAACCATGTTTTCTAAACCATTCCCTCAACCCGCGCCGTGCAGGGAGCAGATCGAGCGGCTGTTTGAGTGGCTGGTCCCGCCGTGTTTGCGGTGCGTGGCCAAGGCGTGCAAGCTGATGGTGCCCATGCAGGAGGCCAACCTCGTGCAGGCGCTCGCGCGCATCCTCCGCGCGCTCATGGACCCGCAGCTCGCGGACCCCGCGCAGGTGGGCCGAAAATTTGTCCTTTTTCGGAAAAGGTTCCTTCGAGGCCGCATTACGGCTACTCGAAAAGGGCAACCTGCTTGATTAGCTGACACCGAGTTAGCAGGTTGCTTGAAAGGTCTTGTACTTATAGTAGAACGGCAATGGATTCAAACTAAGGTATTGAGAAGTAGGTAGAGTCGCCCGCGGCTCCAAGTACCTCTGAACGCAGCTGCGGAACGACTGTTGACATACTCAGTGTGCTATGCAATCTGTACAACGTCAATTCAAAAAGCTCTCGGAGTTTCGTTTATTCTATCGTTTGGCAGAGCAGCACGCCTTGCAGACACAATACGTTCAGCTTCATTGATCCACCCCTCTTGAACTGAGCTTCTATCCTACTCTTTCAACTGCCGCAAGATTCTGACCTGCGCAGCCGTCTCCCCAATCAGACTGTAACGCTGACTCTGTTCTTTCTCCTCACGTTACCGAACCATACTCCTCTGCCAGGTGGCCAAGATGGACGGCACGCTGGTGTGCGTGTGGCTGGACTGCCTGTTCCTCTTCAGCCTGGTGTGGTCCGTCGGGGGCTGCACCGATGAAGCGGGGCGGCTCAAGTTCGACGCGCTGCTTCGAAAGCTCCTGGTGAGTGTATACACATAAGAATCGAGATAAAACAGCCCACCAGAGCTCTGGTTTCAATGGTTAGGTTTCACGTATCTGTAAACGGGGGGCTTAGATCTCGACGGAATTCAGTTTCGACTTTGCAAGCGTGCATCCGTCTTGACTGACAAAACAGCGATGCTCAAGCCTTTCTGAAATCTCTGTGTTGAAGGGCTTGGGTTGCTCTGTCAAAGTTAACGTAGGTTGATGACAACAAGAAATCTTAAAGCGTTGGCATACAATCATGTCCGCTCGCTTGCGAACAGAAGAACCTGTTTTCTGTCGTCTGTCTAATGAAAACCCTTAGGCATTCCGCTTCAGAAAGATCCGGGCGCGATTTGCCTCGAAGTTGCCTCATCAACCCCACCGTCACACTTTCCCGGCAGGTCAACCAACCCCCGGAAGAGTACAAGCCCTTCATCACCGGGACCGCCCGGAAAGTCGCGCTGCCGTTCCCCGAGGGAAAGACAGTCTACGACTTCACCTTCAACAAGGAGCGCGGCAAGTGGGCTCCTTGGACCGATCTCATCGACGACTCCCCGCCTTCTCCGGAAGCGGAATTCGTACGGATCATCGTGCCGACGGCCGATACCGTACGGTACACGTTTCTGATGGAGGCGCTTCTGACGCACGGGCAGCCGATGCTGCTGGTGGGGCCGACCGGGACGGGCAAGAGCGTGTACATCAAGCAATTCTTGACCAAGGGGCTGGATGCCAACAAGTAAGTCGAGGAGGAGATCGAGTTGAGTCTTTTCTCGAGACGCGTTACACCTACATTTCGAATCGACAGAAGGTTGAAGTGTATATCCCAATAAGGGTTACGGGCACGAGCGTGTACATCAAGCAGTTCCTGACCAAGGGGCTGCATGCCAACAAGTAAGTCGGCCAGCGGTTTTTGAAGACCTTGATGGAATAGACATTGTCAATCCAGATGAATCTGGCTCAGGAAGCGTGCTTGGTTTGAGTCGTACTTTAAGGCGTGGTTGTGGGTGTCACCAAGAAGAGACCGGTTCGCTGAACACCGCCATATCTTGTGCGCCTGAGTTCTTACCGTCTTCTTTTATGTTTGCAAAAGGAAAGCACCTACGTCTTACCAAGCGTATCGTTTTTCCATGATGCCTCCATTTCCTCCTTCTGTCGTCCTAATCCTGGATGGCCACTTTCTATTGTTGGAAGACCCAGAAAACCAAACATTTTCCTTCTCTCCTCCTCTTTCTCCTTGTACTCTTTCATGTCTTGTCGTTCCTGCCTACTATGGACTCACACCCTTCTCTCCCCCCCTCACTTCACCAGGTATCAGTCCATGTTCTTCAACTTCTCCGCGCAAACCTCCGCCAACCAGACCCAGGACATCATCGACGGCAAGCTCGACAAGCGGCGCAAGGGCGTCTTCGGGCCGCCCCCGGGCAAAAAGTTCGTCATCCTAGTTGACGACCTCAACATGCCGGCGCTCGAGAAATACGGGGCGCAGCCGCCCATCGAGTTGTTACGTCAGTGGATGGACCACGGGGGGTGGTATGACCGGAAAGAGCTGACGTTCCGCAACCTGATAGACGTGCAGTTCGTGTCGGCGATGGGGCCCCCCGGGGGGGGGCGGAATGACGTCACCAACCGGTATCTGCGCCACTACAAGTAAGGCGCCCAGTGTTGACGAGCCTCTGTACTTTTGTTGCATGTGACCTGTCTGTACGAGCGCGGAATTCTCCATTTCTGCTTTGCATCTACGAGCGTTCACGTTAGAACTGTTTCGTTTCGTTTGGCATATACGAGCGCAGACTTCAAGAACCAAAGTGTAGGTTTTTGACTTGGTTTTGGGCTCTGAAAGTCAGGGTCTTTGTGATGGAAATCTTCGGTCAAACGGGAAATTCGTATTGATCGAGGATTTTTGAACGATTTAATCTGAGGCTGAACCTAAGCCTCTATTTCAGCATCCTATGTATTTGACACGCAAGAACATGCTTAAGAGTTTTGCGAAGTCTCTCGATTTGGGCTTCAAAAAGTACCCAGTCCGCTCTTCAAACACCGTTCCGCTCCGATGCTGAACGTCACCACGTTCCGCTGCAGCGTGGTGTCCGTGACGTCGTTCGGCGACGAGACGATGAGTCGCATCTTCACGGTCCTGGTCGACTGGTGGATGCGAAAGGCGCACTACCCGCCCGCCGTTACCAAGCTGCGCTCGTCCATGGTCTCCGCCACGCTCGACATCTATCAGGTCTGTGTTACTTCGTTCCTGTTCCGCTCCGCTCCGTTCCGTCCTTGTTCCGTCCTTGTTCCGCTTCATTGTTCTCATTGATGATGCGCACTCGCCCGCCGTCGCAAAGCTGTGCTCGCCCAAGGTTTCCGCGACGCTCGACATCTACCAGGTAAAGCGTTCTTCCGTTCTCGCTTCGCTCTCCTATGTCACATTAGTGTTCCGTCCATTATCCCTTTTTGTTCCGTTCTGCGCACGCGCCCGCCGTCACCAAAGATCGCTCGCCCATAGTGTCGGCCACGCACGACATCTACCAGGTACAATCTCGGCCCTTCCTGGTGCGTCCTGTTCTTTTCGTTCCGTTCTGTTCCGTTCCTGTGTTCTATCCATTCTTCGGACGTATGTGTGCACTGGCCCGCCGTCACCAGCTCCGCTCGACCACGTGGTCTGCCGCGCTCGACATTTACCAAGTGCGCCAAAATATTGATCCGTCTCTGTTACGACCGTTTTTCCCGCGCGCTCTTTGAATGGTTGCTGGCACGCGTTGAACAAGTTGCGCCTAGCATTGGCATTCCGCCTTCCCTGCTCCGAACTAGATCCGGCGATATCAAAGCTGCTGTCCTTGCGTCAGCCGCTTTCGACCGCCCTGCCGTACTACGACCGCCCACAATTGTTTCCGAGTCCTGTATACCTATCGGGTGTCTACTTTCGAATCCAAGTACTCTCGTTTGCCCAATTCGTAAGCATTGCTTTTCCGGGCCGCTTTGCCTGACGCGCATTCCGCTTGCGTTGTTCCGCCCCGCAGACGGTCCAGCGCGAGCTGCTGCCGACGCCCACCAAGAGCCACTACACGTACAACCTACGCGACATGGGCAAGGTCTTCCTGGGCCTCCACTTTGCGCCCCCCGGCGTCGAGGAGCCGGACCGTCTCATTCGGTTATGGGCCAACGAGTGCCTCCGGGTGAGCGCTCGCGCACGCGAGCGCCTTTGTCCTGATTCTCTTGACTTGTACGCAGATTTTGATTGAATTTTCAGTGCCCAAGGGCCGCGGTTGATTGGACGAGCCGAGATCGGACCACAGGTCGGCTTTTGAGGGCTGTATCAATGAGTGCCTACGAAGCTTGGCCGTATTCGCTCTTGCGCGCGTAGAATTGTTTACATGACGAGGATCTTGGGCAATGCAAAAGGAAGTCTCTGGAATGATCTCGGCGGACGCTGGTATTCAGCTTGTCATCAATTTAGAGTGCAAATTAAAATTGGCAATCCTTTTTGGCGTCTGAGGTTGCTTCCCGAAACAGGTCGTTTTGTCCAAAAATGGACCGCTACCTACTGTCCTTCTTTATCGAGGACGCATGTTACTGACACTTCCCTTTTCTCCGGGCAGGTCTTCCACGACCGGTTGGTGTCGGACGAAGACCGCTCCTGGTTCTTCAACCTCATGGCGGAGACTACCGAGAAGCACTTCCGGGAAAAGTTTTCCCGCGTGTTTGCTGGACTGGGCGCCCCGCCCCCTGCTCCCGACGGCAAACCGGCGCCCCGAGGGGAGACCAAGCCTGAGGCGCTTAAGTACCTCATGGCCGGGGATTTTATGCAGCAGGGCGGGGACGGAGGGCAGGTGAGCGGAACCGGAACTTTCCGGAAGTTGTTTATTATGGAACTGGGTCGCGGAATCATGTCAAGCAGTTGGCTGATTGAAGAGGACGGGTTTCGAAAAATTTCCTGCACCAGATTCCGTGTCAAACCCTGTCGTTGGTAACAGTGTTGGATCTCGTGATGATGATTGTTTGTTTCAAAGACAGCGCGTAGATTCTTTTGCACTGTCACTGTATTTCTGAGAGGATTCTGCACGATTGTGCACTCCAGGGAATCCTACGGATAATGTACGATAGAAATGCACAATAGGGTCCAGGAATATTCTTCCGGTGCTCGGTCAAGAGGTCTCCCGAAATGTTGTCTAAATTAAAAACAAGCGCTTGTTTTAACCGCTTTGATTAACTTACGGAGGTCCTTATTTCTTCTGATCTCCCGCCTTGTTGCGCAGTACGACGAGATCACGGACGAAGCCGCGCTGGTCAAGGTGATGCAAGCGTACTTGGAGGACTTCAACGCGACGAGCAGCAAGCCGATGAACCTGGTGCTCTTCCTCTTCGCCATCCAACACGTCAGCCGCATATGCCGCGTCATCAAGCAGCCAGGTGGCAACGCGCTATTGGTCGGGGTGGGCGGCAGCGGGCGCCAGAGCCTCGCGCGCCTCGCGGCGTTCATCGAAGGGTTTGAGGTGTTCCAGGTAAGACGCGGCCGTGCTCGACTACTTTACCGTGCCTTTACGCTGGTTCTGACCATTTTGTGTTCGAAATGAAAAGGGGGAAATCTCTGCAAACATATGGAGATTAGGGTTGCCAAACTCGCTTATGGGGGCAAAATGTCATGAAAATCGAGGGCTCAAGCGGGCTTCTCCCGTTGAAGATGAGGAGAATGAAGCTCTCAGAAACATCGATAGTGAGTCGCTTCTTCCAAAATATCTTGGAGAAGAGATGTTTGATACCCATGAAAGCTCTCCTCTCTCATCTCTCACGATAATACGGCTCCTCCTGTCCTCTTCAACCACAGATCTTTACAAAATCGCAAGTTGGAAGTAACTCATTTGACACTCGATTCATTCCTCCCTCCCGCAGGTGGAGATCAGCAAGAATTACGGCATGGCAGAGTGGCGCGACAACCTCCGTAGCGTGCTGCGCAAGGCTGGCGAGCAGGACAAGCGGGTGATGTTCCTCTTCACGGACACGCAGATCAAAAAGGAGGGCTTCGTCGAGGACATAAACAGCCTGCTCAACACCGGCGAGGTGAGCAGAGGCGCGCGCGCGCGCGCAGAGGGGGGGTGACGTCGGAGCTTGGGTCGTGATCGTTTGAGGATGACTGAGGACATTGTAACCGTTTGATATGTCTTCAATGTAGCAATCCATAAGCTCCAGCAATGGTAAGCTCCGACACTAATAGTAAGCTTCTCACAAAAAGGTTCACCACTCACCTGCTCCGCACCCTCACAAAATATACATCCCCAAAGTAAAGCGCACTCGTCCCAGGCTGGCTAACTTACTGTACTCAGAGCTTGTTGGTGCTAAGTCGAAGATTCGTCCTGTGGCGCAGAGGGTTACGGAAAGGCAACGTTGTGCTCGAAGCAGCAAAGACAAGAACGGAGAAGCGGCGTCAAGCCGCCATCAGGAAAGAACCGCAGATGAAGGAATTTACCTCGTCAAAGAACGGCTGAACCAATCTTTCGGTCAGCTCCTCACTGCTTCCGGAAGCAACAGCTTGACGTACTTCGATTTCAATGGCGTATGACATACTCTTATCTAATCCGTCTGCCGATCTTCCTTCCAGGTGCCCAACCTGTTCGACTCGGGCGACACATCCATGATCGCCGAGGGCGTGCGCGCGCGCGCCAAGCGCGCGGGGCGCGAGGGCACGCGCGCGGAGCTGTTCCAGTTCTTCGTGGAGGAGTGCCGGCGGAACCTGCGCATCGCGCTGTGCTTCAGCCCCATCGGGGAGGCGTTCCGGGACCGGCTGAGAAAGTTCCCGTCCCTAGTTAACTGCTGCACGATCGACTGGTTCAGCGGGTGGCCCATGGAGGCGCTGCGCTCCGTCGCGGGTGAGCGCCCGGTTTTTGGATAGCTGTCCATACTCCGTCCATTAGGTGCTCTTTGCGGGCTCTTGGTGACAGGGAGAGGACCTGCCTTGAGACGTCTTTTCGTCAATCTGGTCGACGATCCTGTAATGGGACTCACAAACTTGGGTTCGTACCAGATGAGTCCAAGCTTCCCTTGAATACATAAGGCTTACATTGTTTGAGCCTGACAGCCTAGATTTACATTCCAGAAGCCCGCTCTTTAGCTCGTCCATGGCCAGTGTAGATGCCAAAATTCAGCTTTGTCTGAGAACGCTGACTTACGTATTTTCAAGCCCCTCAACCCGCAACTTTCAGTAAGGCAGGTCGCTTTTGGGAGCACATCAACGTGGATCGATCCCTCCTCCCGGACCTGGTCGCATGAGCGTGCGATTCACCAAGCATCCTTGACACCAAATTTGAGCTCCTCAAGAAGCTGAACTGTCAATTCCCAAGGTCCTAAATCCCGCAACTCTGTTTATCCAGGTCGCTTCTTGGAGGACATCAATATGGACCGCTCACTGATCCCCGCTCACTGGTCTTGGACTTGGCCGACATGAAACGTGCACTTCCACCTGAGCGTCCGAAACGCCGAAACCTCCGCTTCTCGCTGTTCTGCCTAAAGGGATTTGAAGTCCCTAAAGCCCACATATTCGTATCATACAGGTCGCTTCTTGGAGGACATCAACGTGGATCGCTCGCTGATCCCCGACCTGGTCGACATGAGCGTGCACTTCCACCTGAGCGTCCAGGACCTCGCGCAGCGCTACCTGGCGGAGCTGAAGCGTCACTATTACGTCACGCCCACCAGCTACCTGGAGCTCATCTCCACGTTCAAGGCGCTGCTGGCGAAGAAGCAGCAGGAGGTCAGCGGGCTCAAACGGAGGTGAGGTTTGGGGCTGTCAAGTCTCTAAGAAGAAACCTTTCGAGATTTACGTTTGGATAATCCACCTATCGAGAACAGATGTCACCGTTCAAAGTGCCAGGGAGAAAATAAGGAGAGGGTTCGAGCGAGAAGTGTTCCTTAGCTTAAGGGGTCAAATAACGCTTCTCAACAGAATCATAGTATTTGCTATCCTCTTTGAACACAAGATGGGTTGCGTTGCGCCAGCCACTTATCCTACACGTCGTCCCCGTTCTGCAAAGGACGCCAGAAGAGCGTGGGACGACAAAAGTTGGCGGCGAGTATAACCTAGCAATCTGCCTTGCACCCAAAAGAGGGGAACAAAAGACCAGGAACAAGGTTTGATTACGTCACTGTTTATCATCGGTCTTTTGCCCGCGCCCAAAGCGCGCGGCTTTGATATACCCGGAGAAAAAAGCGGGGCTGGCAAAAGGGTCGGCGGCCGGAGTTGAACCGACGTTCTGGAAGACCCTAATTTTTTCAAAGCCAGACCAGACAGCAGACAAACACACAACGCGGAAAATCGTAGTTCTGTTTGTAATTGCTACGCCGACGACAAACATGACCAATCACATCCCGATCAATCAAATCAGTAACGTCACTTGGGAGCTCGGTGACGTCACGCTGGTCCCAAACCCTCAAAACCCTCCGGTCCATTTCGCCGCCGGACACATGAGCGCGCCAACATCACACAGGCAAGCTAGTATTGACGACGAACCAAGTTGCAATATGTGGTGGTCTATCGTAGCGACCTCCATACTTAGACTCCTGTAACAAGGTCGCCGTGGCGCCCACGCCTTATGGATTCCTTGATCCAGATTATGGCACAATCCATCAATCAGGGGCTTTGGGCCCTAAGTTTCATCCCAGAATGGATGAAATCCTGAGCAAACCCTGAGCAAAATCCAGATACTAAGCCTTGAGTCCTTACCCCTGAGCAGGATCTTCAGAAAGCACTGAACACCGGATTGGCATTCTTAACCCCTTTACTGAACACAAGCAACCTCTGAACCAATTCCCGCAGGTATTAAAATCTAGTGGCAAGTGATAGCGAGGCGGGCGTAATGCAGATAAATTTCAAAACCCGATTTGTAACTCTAAAGCCTGTACTAAATCCAGCCAACCCCTGGCCCACAGGTACGAGATGGGCCTGGAAAAGCTGGTTTCAAGCGAGAGCGCGGTGGGCGTGATGCAAGTCGAATTGAAAGAATTGCAGCCGAAGCTGATCGAGAGCGGCAAGGGTGTCGCCGCGCTTATGGAGGTCATCGACAAGGAGACCGTCGAGGCGAACAAGGTGGGCGCCTGATACGTTTGGTCCGGGCTTTAGGCATCGAGAACGGGCTAAAGAAGTGGTGTCACGTTTTTCTGCCCTTGATGCAAGATAACACTTCTGGTTGATTGCAATTGCGATCAGCAAAGTCGAGGTTTGTGTAGTTGAAGGAGATCTGCAGAGCAGGAAAATGTTGCGAGATGCCAACGTGGGTCGGTCTCAAGTATCCCACCGAACGATGCTGGGACGATATGAGGATTGGCGATTTGAGTATCATGTCGCCTTCCTCTCCTACCTAAGTACGCTTCAAGTCCAATATTCCGTTGGTCGGTCAAAAATTCGATACCAAGGCTAAACTCTAGACACACTCTCTCTCCAGGTGCGTGCGGTGGTGAAGGGCGAGGAAGAGATTGCGAGCAAGAAGGCAGCAGACGCGAAGGCCATCAAGGACGACACGGAAGCGGATCTCGCAGAGGCCATGCCGCAGCTTGAGGCCGCGCTGCGGGTAAGTGCCTCCCTGTTTTACGGATCAAAGTCCAGGGGTCTGCTATAGCATGTCAGTCGTTCATCCCAGAACAACTGCTTGTGACAACAGGCTTCCTGTAGAGGGCTAGGAACATCTTAACGGTCCTGAGGTGTCTTTCCAACGAAATTTGGTTTTATTCTCTCAATCTCGTTCTCGTCAAAAGGGGGTACTCAAGCGCTGACGTCGTTCAAATCAGTCAGACAATAACGGCACCAACAGCTTGAAGAATCTCATCCATATCGGACCTTTCTCCTGTCCATTCTGACCCCTCTGACCCCCCGCGCGCGCGTAGCAAGAACGCCTAAGCGGAGCGCAGTGAAAAGCAGACGCAATCTTATCTGCCTCTGCTTCGAGTAACTTCACCCGTATCTTTTGAATCGCTAACACTTCCTTACGCGCGCGCGCAGGCGCTGGACACTCTAAGCAAGAACGACATCACGGAACTCAAGGGCATGAAGAGCCCGCCGGCCGGGGTGAAGCTCGTGATGGAGGCGGTGTGCATCATGAAGAACGTGAAGCCTACCCGGTTGAAGGACCCGGGCAGTGGGAAAATGGTGGACGATTACTGGGAGTCGAGCAAGAAGGTGCTGGCCGACGCAGGGTTCCTGCAGAGCCTGAAGGAGTTCGACAAGGACAACATCCCGTCCAAGACGATCTCCATGATCCTCCCGTGAGTCGACGCGTGGCGCGCTTGAGTCGGTTGGACTTCGAATGGCGGGCTTGCCGCAGTTTTGCGCACATGAGGTACTGTTCCGCGTGGAAACTCCCATCACCAGTCGGCTCCGAAGCATCGCATCCAACGGAAAGAAGGGTTTTTGGCTTTTGGGAATTTTGTACCGACATATACCTGGGTTTGAACATTCTCGAGCTGCATCTGCATTTCAAGCGTGCTGTTGTCGACCCTCCCCTTTGCAACTGGTTGCCATGAAACCTTTGCTTTAATCGTCTTCTCCCTAGATTAAGCTTTGGCTAGGCTGAACATCGAGTCCAGAAAGATCAGGTTTGTCTTGTTCTTCTTCTGGATTTTCACTTAACGGATGGCCCTTTAAACGAGCGTACACCCATCAGGTACATCGAGAACCCGGACATGGCCCCGGACAAGATCCGGTCCGTATCGACCGCCGCGTACGGACTGTCCTGCTGGGTCCGCGCGATGGAGGCGTATGACCGCGTCGCGAAAGTGGTCGCGCCCAAGAAAGCCGCGCTCGTGGTCGCGGAGGCGGAGTACAATGACGTCATGGCCAAGCTGCGGGTGAAGCAGGCGGAACTGCAGAAGGTGCGCGGGGGTTTGGGTTTTGCGGCGCAATCGCGGCCGCGGCGGCTTGATCCGTTGTTCGATCGTTGGCTGTGGATGCTGTGCGTCGGTCTTCACTTTGATATCCAATACGGAAACGCTGGGGCGCAAAATGGGCGCGGGTTCTGGAGGTTAGAAAGCTTGGCGCTTGCGGATTTGCGTCTTCGAATTTGAATACGGACTTGCCAGTCAGGAGTCAGATGGCGGTTTGGAACGGCTGGGAAAGGGCTTAATTTCGCTCACAGATGCAAAAAGCTGCAAGAGTCTGAGGTCAAAATGGGTTTGCCTGCAATCCAATCTTGTCACAGCTTTCACAATTTCCGCTTCTTACCTTTGATTATGCACGCGCAGGACTTAATAGGATTGAGACAAAAGAATTGCATTTCGTATCGCAGGTGGAAGACAAGCTGGCCGCGCTGGACGCAAACCTGCGCGAGCAGAACGCCAAGAAGCGGAAGCTCGAGTCCGACGTGGACCTGTGCGCGCGCAAGATTGAGCGCGCGACGCAGCTGGTCTCTGGTTTGGGCGGGGAAAAGGCCCGGTGGACGAAAAGCGCGGAATCGTACGGCAAATTGTACACCAAACTGACCGGGGACGTGCTCTTGAGCTCCGGTGTGATCGCGTACCTGGGCGCGTTCACACCGCTCTTCCGGGAGGAGTGCGCGCGCGACTGGGCGCGCCGGTGCCGCGAGAAGGGCCTCCCGTGTAGCGACGAGTTCACGCTGGCGGCCGTGCTGGCGGACCCGGTCAAGGTGGGCGGCCGTGACATGGACTTTGGGGTTCCTATTTTCTCTCCGGTGAAACAGCAGAATTAATACCATGTCACCACTTTCCAAGCAATGATGTTGTGACTTGTTTTTCGTCTTGACGTCGCAAACTGTTTCCTGCTAAGGTCCCAATATGCTTCCGGGGGAATCCGCCTTTCATCTAGGAGCACGAAGACTTGATGACCGGTTTTAACTGTCGCTTGATCATCATCTTGTCGTCCAAGCTCGAAAGGATCCTGGAAAATCAGCTTCGCATTAGCGTTGCTTGCAAATCAAAAGCCCTCCCTGGCTTGCCTGATCGCACAACCCCACAGGTTCAAGCCGATCCAACCGTAGACCGTCCTCTTTCAATGCGCGCGCGCAGGTGCGCGCGTGGAACTTGGCGGGCCTGCCCAAGGACCAGTGCAGCACGGACAACGCACTCATAGTTTCCAACAGCCGCCGCTGGCCGCTCATGATCGACCCACAGGGTCAGGCTAACAAGTGGGTGAAGAACATGGAGAAAGAAAACGGGTTAGCGGTGGTTAAGCTGAGCGACGCCGACTTTTTGCGACGGTTAGAGAACGCAATCCAGTTCGGGAAGCCGGTGCTGCTGGAGAACGTCGGCGAGGAGCTGGACCCCGCGCTCGAGCCGCTGCTGCTGCAGCAGGTGAGAGCGCGCGCAAGAGCGCAAGAGCGCGCGGCCGCGTGATGTGTCAAGTTCGAGAAAATATCTACAGCGAAGTTCATTGCAAGTTTCGGCCTGTCAACTGAGCCTATCAGGCTGGGGAGGATAGAACAACTTGCGGCAATGTCTCCGGTTCCTTTCTATCTCGGAGGGGGTTAGCGTCAGGGTTTTCTCGGTTCTTTTTTCATCCAAACCTTGGCAAACAAGCTTCGTACGCTCTTTCTGAAACCTGAGTCGCGTGCTTATTACCACCCGGATTGCTATCCGCAGAAGACTCATTGTGAATCCTTCGCCTTGGATCGTTTACGCACTTGTCTTTTCCATCTCTGTATTGACAGCGACGCTGAACTCATTCTCCCTTCTTTCGCAGACGTTCAAGCAGGGCGGCATGCTGTGCATCCGGCTGGGCGACAACACGATCGAGTACTCGCCGCAGTTCCGCTTCTACATGACCTCCAAGCTGCGGAACCCGCACTACACGCCGGAACTGTCCACCAAGGTAAGCACGCCCTCAGCGCCATCCAATGAACATAGAGAAACCTCTTAAAGTCCCCTTCTCTAGTGAAACTGAAGAAGAGCTTCCGGGAACTCCGGGAGATCAGACTGTCACGTTCAGTTTTCAATTACGCCCTTGCTAGAATGGGTTGCCCGAAGTTTGAGCCCAAAAAGTCAGTATGAGGTGTGACCAGTCTTCACAGCATCCGGTGCCCTCATTCTATCTGCCGTAACCATCTTCTTAACCCTTTTTTTGCCAGGTGACGCTGCTCAACTTCATGATCACGCCCGAGGGTTTGCTGGACCAGCTGCTTGGTATCGCGGTCGCGCGCGAGCGGCCGGAACTAGAGGAGGAGAAAAACGCGCTGCTGCTGCAGGGCGCGGAGAACAAGCGGCAGCTGGCGGAGATCGAGGACAAGATCCTGCAGGTGCTCTCGCGGGACGGCAACATCCTGGAGGACGAGAGCGGAATCCAGGTGGGCGGAACGGAACCGAGACTGCATTCTACCTTTAAACGTCTGGAACGTGTCGGTTATGAACATGTTCTACAAACTTGAAAGATCGAAGAAGAGTTGTGACTCTCAATATTCCTAACAGCCTGAGGCACGATGTAAAAGCTTACATCTTGATCCATACGGTCAGTTTCTGCGTCATCAGGACAAATAGATTCTTTCCTAATTAGCATAGTAATGAATGGGGCTGCGAGGTCGACGCCTGTTCAACAGAAGCAAATGGTCCTCCAAGGGATTTCCTTTTCTTTTACCCTCTCATGAACCCTTCTCATATGGTCCTCTAGGTCCTCGCGGTCCGATTATGGAACCCAAAACTCGGACAAACTCCTCATACCCTCAACCGCGTCCCCTGCAGGTTCTGTCCGCGTCCAAAACCCTGTCCGACGAGATCACGGCGAAGCAGGCGGTGGCGGAGCAGACCGAGGCGCGCATCGACGAAGCGCGCGCGGGTTACACGCCGGTCGCCGCGCTCGCGAGCATTTTGTTCTTCTGCGTCGCGGACCTGGCCAACATCGAGCCGATGTACCAGTACAGCCTGGCCTGGTTCATCGACCTTTTCACGCGCGCGATCGCGCACAGCGAGAAGAGCGCGGTCCTGAGCAAGCGGCTCAAGGCGCTGAACGACTACTTTACTTACTCCGTCTACTGTAACGTTTGTCGCGGGCTTTTTGAGAAAGATAAGACCCTGTTCTCCTTTCTCATGGCGGTGAAAATACTCGCCGGCGAAGGGAAGATGGACGCAGACGAGTTGCGGTTTTTGTTAACCGGGGGTTTGGCGGTCGACGCGGCGCCGCCGCGGCCGGCGGGCAACGCGGCCGCGTGGCTGCAGGAGAAGGCCTGGGGCGAGATTTGCCGGTTGGCGAAGTTGGAGGCGTTCGGGGGTTTCGAAAAGGCTGTGGCAGCGGCCCCCGAGAAGTGGCGGGCGGTCTACGACAGCGCGGAGCCGCACCTGGAGGCGCTGCCGGCGCCATATGGCCAAAACTTCAATTCGTTCCAGGTGGGTTAGAACAGCACGATACCTGCCCTGTTTTTGGCTGTGGCAAAAGTGCACAAGGAGAGTCTTCAAGCGGGTTTCGACGAGGTTGCCTTATCTCGAGCAAGTTTGTTATGTGCTACTACGCATTTTGCTGGGACTTATTCCAGCAAATGATGCTGCTTGGACAGCAAATCGTTTAGACTCACCGGCCGCTTTTTCTCGTCGAACCTCAAGCGTGACCGTTTGGTGAGCTTCCACCGTTCAATCCGCGGGCGGTCGGATAACTTAGGAGCAGGCTCTCAGTTTCGCAGTTGCAACAGTCGACAGAGCCAGAGTGGAGCAGGGCGGAAATATCTCGTGTCAAACCCTCGAACAGACCTAGAGATGCATTACCGAAGGCCTTTGGATCGTTTTACTAACCCTCATCCTAACCGCGCAACTCGCGCCCGCAGAAAATGCTGGTCCTGCGCTGCCTGCGCGCGGACAAGGTCGTCCCCGCCATCGTCCGCTACGTGTCCGAAACCCTGGGCGCGCGCTTCGTCGAGCCGCCGCCACTAAACCTCGAGACCTGCTTCGGCGACTCCGCGGCCGCGACGCCGCTCATCTTCGTCCTTTCCCCCGGGTCCGACCCCATGTCGTCACTTCTCAAGTTTGCCGGCGACAAGAACGTGCGCATCGAGACTGTTTCGCTGGGCCAGGGCCAGGGCCCGGTCGCCGCAAAGCTGCTCGCGGAGGCCGCGCGCGCTGGCTTCTGGGTCGCGCTCCAGAACTGCCACCTGGCGGTCTCCTGGATGCCCACGTTGGAGCGGCTGTGCGAGACGGAGTTGACCGTGGAAAAAGCGCACCCGGAATTCCGGTTATGGTTGACGAGTTACCCCAGCGACGCGTTCCCGGTCAGCGTGCTGCAAAACGGGTTGAAGATGACTAACGAGCCGCCGAAGGGGTTGAAGGCTAACCTAACCGGGTCGTATTTGAGTCACCCGATCTCGGACCCGAGCTTCTTCGGGGGTTGCGCCAAGGGGCCCGAGTGGCGGAAGATGCTCTTCGGGCTGTGCTTCTTCCACGCGTTCCTGCAGGTAAGGCTAGCTCGAGGCAAGAAAATTGTGCCTTAGTCCGTTAGTTTGTGCCGTTGGAGAGTTGTAAGGGTTTTTGGGTTTGCGCGCAATTACCTGAGTCGTTCGGAGAGCTGATCAATAGTATTGCAGAGGAGATCCGATGCACCTGGAGAGCAAACTGACTTGATTGGGCGCGCTTTTCGTACGTGATTTTGAGAGTCACCGCCGGCAGGAGTCTTTCTTACTTCTCGTCTTCGAGACAACGACATCAGGTAAAGTAGGGAAAGTGTTAGCCACTTCCAAGCAGTACTCGTCAAATTTTCCTTCACCAAACCCAAGTGAAGCCTCCAGAAACATCCGAGGTGGACGATATTGCCCGTTTGTCAAGCAACTTTGGCTTCCTGTCAAATGGTCGACGAGCTACTTAGCAGGTTCGCGCTTTTCAATGCAATCACTTTGATGTTTGCATCCTTCCTTTTCTTCCACATGGGGCTTCAGATCCTCCCTCTCATGCCACCAGCGTTCATACTGGCTCTCAAAAGAATACATTGATTCCCGTGGGACCGATCTCTGCAGCCCAAAACAAGATCGAACGTTACATTCCTTTTGCAGGAGCGCCGCAAGTTCGGCCCGCTGGGGTGGAACATCCCGTACGAGTTCAACGACGCGGACCTGCGCATCAGCGTCCGGCAGCTGCAGATGTTTTTGGACGAGTACCCGGACGAGGTCCCGTACAAAGCCCTCCGCTACCTCACCGGCGAGTGCAACTACGGCGGCCGCGTCACCGACGACCACGACCGGCGCACGCTCACCACCGTGCTCGCGCACGTCTACTGCGAGGAGCTGCTGACGTCGGACTATGCGCTGTCCGAGTCCGGTCTGTACCGCGCCCCCCCCGACGGGGTGTATGACGACTATTTAGAGTTTATCAAGAAACTACCGGTTCAACCCCGGCCCGAGGTCTTCGGCTTCCACGACAACGCTGACGTCACCAAGGACATGAACGAGACGACGCTGCTGGTGGACAGCCTGCTGCTGACGCAGGCGTCGGCGGTTCCCGCGGCCGCGCCCGCGGCGGCCGCGGGCAAGAAGGTCGAGGCGAAGCCGAAGCGGTTGACGCGCGAGGAGACGCTGGGGAATCTGGCGGCGGATATTCTGAGCAAGCTGCCCGGAAACTTCGACATCGAAGCGGCCCAGTTGAAGTACCCGGTAACTTATTTGGAGTCGATGAACACGGTGCTGTGCCAGGAGCTGGGGAGGTACAACCGGCTGCTCTCGGTGGTGCGATCCAGGTGAGCGGGTGCCACGTGGCGCAAAGCGGGGTAACGGGCTGCAAGGTTGAAGGCGTTTTCTGCGTCCTGTCTGTTGTCCTCCAGAAAAAACAAGATTCGGCAGGAGAAACTGCCGTTCCACATGAGCTTCCTGCCAATTGTTGCCTTATGTTAGTTTATCTAGGACCGGAATCTCGACTCGCGGCTCATTCGCTCCCGTTCCCGTTCCTTGTAATCGTACCCTCAAAGACCGCTGCTCTGCTTGTATGCATCCTAATGGGAAGCTCTTTCCTCACCAAGCTGAAGATCGCTTCACTGATCAGTGAGGGACTTCGATCGGTTCAGAAGTGCGCAAGACGATTGCACACATTTGAAACACGAAAATGCACTTTCAAAACCTCTCGACGGTCAGTTCCGTACCTTCCAGGCCAATCTCCCATGCGCCCCCAATGAACTCTAATTTGCAGTCCAGAAAGCACTTGAGGCCCACCAACCCTTGAACGCAATCGACTCCGCTAATATCAACCTCCAAAACAGTCACGAAGCACAAGAAGAAGACCGTTTGAAATTACAAAGCTTTTAAAGTTCCTAAGTTTTCGCCTCCCCCACCTCGTCTCAACATCGTTGATTTCTCCGTTCTGCAGTCTGCTGGAGCTCCAGAAAGCGCTCAAGGGCCTCATCGTCCTTTCCGCCGAGCTCGAGGCCCTGGGGAACTCCCTCTTCGACGGCAAGATCCCGGCCATGTGGGCGGCCCGGTCGTACCCCAGCCGGAAACCCTTAGCGAGTTACGTGGCAGACTTGCTGGAAAAAGTGGCGTTCTTCCAGTCTTGGGTGGACGTCGGCCCCCCGACCGTCTTCTGGCTCTCGGGCTTCTTCTTCACGCAGTCGTTCCTCACGGGCGCCAAGCAGAACTTCGCGCGCAAGTACAAGGTGCCCATCGGTAAGTCGAGGCGTCTGTGGGTTTTTGGGATTCTGGTTTGGGAGATTGGTTTGGAATTCAGAGATTGTTTGACTGTGATTCGACTTTGTCGTTGTTCTTCTGTGGCGGGCGGTTTGGAGTGTGACGGCTGCAGTCTTCCAGTTTCGTATGGATGAACAAGCTAATACTGGGATGAATAACCAACTCTGGTATTGCAGGTATTAGCACATAGACTATCCAAGGACCTGTTTCAGGATGGAAATTTCTGCTCTTCCGAGTTGCCCCGAGACATAAATTGCCTGGAGGGCCCCTTGAAAGCAAAAGCAAACGGCGAAGTTAGTTTGCTGCAGTTGCCACCAAACCCTGCGCTATACTCTGACGTTTGTAACACACTCGCTCTTTTCCTTTCCCTGCAGATGTCATTGACTTCGACTTCCAGGTCATGGACGACCCGGCCGCGCTCGCGGCGCGGCCCGAGGACGGCGTCTACTGCCGCGGGCTGTTCCTCGAAGGCGCCCGGTGGGACTCTACCGGGCACGTGCTCGGGGAATCTTTGCCCAAGCAGCTGCACACGCAGGCCCCGGTTATTTGGATGATCCCTCGGGAGATCGCCAAGATGACGTCATTCCCGCACTACGAGTGCCCTATTTATAAGACGAGCGACCGGCGGGGGATCTTGTCGACCACCGGGCACTCGACGAATTACGTCATGGAGGTGCGGCTGCCGTCGGATCGGCCGCAGGCGCACTGGATAAAGCGGGGGGTGGCGCTGCTGACTCAGCTAGACGACTAGCTGACGCAAGGGGAGTCGCTGTGGTCGGGGGGCCCAACCGAGCAGCCGAAAGCATGACCGAGGTGCGAAAGTCCAGGTACAAACAACGGTATCGGTATGTAGAGATCAGAGCAGGAGCAGCGCTGTCCTGTAGAGTGTGTCTGCGATAGCCTAGGAGGAATAGCCGTTTTCATTCAATTATCCTATGTTGCTGACTAGATAGGTAAAATGGACATTCAGGTGCAACTTGAGGTTACTGACCGGACTCTGGGCATGGATGACGAATGAAGTTTCATACACAAGCAACCCTTCTGAAATTCACGTGACTGCGGTCGCCCTTGCATGCGAACTTGAGACGTATCTGCTGCGGCCTGGCCGTCGCTGGTATACCCGCGGAGCACCTGCGGAGCAAGGATGGACCGACCAAAATCACAACTGTTCGCGGTTTTCTGCAGTTGCTTGCATGGCAGCGCATCTGATTGAGCCCATGTTCATCTCCAATTTCTTCGTGTGTAAGTACGTACATGATTGCTTCCATTCCTTTGAATAAATTCTGCATATGCCATATCCGAATCATGAAGGAACTTAGTTGAATCGCGCGTGTAAAGGCAGACGCCAACATGCGCGCACCACGCAGCAAGCCCATATCAAATTGCCCATGTCTTACATGTTTTGTATGCGCGTGTACGTTGGCGGCTGCAATGATAGAAGATAAAACGACGTACGTAGAGGGTGCTTTTATTGTGGCAAGCTCAGTCATGTGTCACGCAATATCAACATCAATCTTATAGAAAAGATCGATCATGCTTCTTGCTTCGCCGCTGTGAGTCGGAATTGCATGATGTCGATGTCGTACTCTACTTGGACTTGAGCTTAGCTGATAGATTGCACCTGTCAAGCAAGCAATCTGTACATGCCAGGTGGCGTCCTAACATGCCTTGGTCGAGCTATATGTGATCGGTCCCCGTGTCGTCGATCTGTATGTAGGAAGTTCCGAGACGCACCTTGCAACTTGGAATTGGAGCTTGGAAACATGGTGGAAATTATACTTCCGTTTCGGAATGATCCGGACCGTCAAGTCGATTCATCGGGTCAGTCATGCGCAGCTCTCAGGATATGTGCGTTCCAGAGCGGGATACGTGTACTTAGAACGTCACTGTCTTTGCCTTTTTCTTGGTCATTTTTGCCGGTGCCGACTGCGGCATCGCTCTATCATCTTCATCCTCCGACGCCTTCCGCTTCTTTTTCGACTCGCTCCCGACGCTGTGCCGTTTCCTTGTCACATTTTTCGACTCTCCCAGCGCTTCGAAAACAACCTCGTCATCCCGTTTGCTATCGGGGTCCTCTCCCGCATCCCCTTCTCGAGCTTCGTCGTCGCTCCCCCAGTTGATTGCTTTTGCAGGCGTTTCGAGCCCCGTGAAATCATCCTCTAAATCGTCCCCGCTCGCAAAGACGGTTTTCTTCGCTGATAAGCCTGCCGCCGGCGGGGCTGGCGTATTTCTACCATACACGGTACTCTTCGGGGCTTTTTCGGGGCAGTCCTTCGCAAGGTGGCGGACGCTTTGGCAGTGCTTGCACGAACCACCCTGCAAAAGAGGAAACTCAGATACGTTTGTACGAGAATAGAGCTTTTCAGTTGCTCTAGGACAGATTCGAAGCATGGGACAAGAAGACCTTTATTAGAAAGGCATTGGGACGACCGAATAGGCTAAACACCAAGAACGAAAACAACTAGGGCCACAAACACGTGATGAGCACCGCAGTGCACAAACGGCTCGTAAGTAACAGCATCTTTCGAATAGGCATCACCGAGCATCTTATGACGTGAAAGAAGAACTATGTACGTTGCTTCAAGAATCTGAGTCGACTAAGCTCTATATGGCCCTTCCCCAATGATTACTAGGACGAACTGGTTACTATCACTTGTGCGTATAATCTTCTGTAGACCTGTCAACTTTCGAAAGATTCTTACCTTGGGGTAGATGCCATGCTCGTTCTGTGGGCAGGCCGCGCTAATGTGGCCCTTCTGCTTGCACACGAAGCACGTTGCAAACTGTGTGCCCCCTGCAGCATGCAAGCACCCAGTCAGCATGAGACGCACTCATGTCACAAGTTCATTTTCGGAACGGAACGGAACGGAACGGAACGGAACAAAACGGAACGGAGCTTCTTGCTGTCGCTAAAATGCCTACACACCACTATTGGTTACCACGGGCGTGACAAATAGCCCTCGCCATTCAGCAGCCCGGCCCTCTCGACGAAGTCTGTTAAATCCAGAAACCAGACTTTGTTTGGGTCCTATCCAATAGTGTAGTAGAACCGCTGTGCGAGCATCCTGCCTCTTTGCTTGCTCACAAACCTAGTACGACAGAGCACCCATGCTGTGAGTTCGAACCTATTCAGAGAGCTTGATATGTGGCATGAAGCATGCGAGCAGAATAGTCTCACCCAAAAACCAAGACACCCAAGAAATTGGTCGACACTCGTTCAGAAGACTTCTGAATTGGCGCTCTTGGGAGCCTTCAATAAACATTCCACCATGTCAGAACGAAGTGCTGTGTAGCATGGGCAATGTCGGGCGCTTGCCCCGGAATTCGAAAACTGGAATCTTCACTGCCTGACACCCCCGTCCACGTTCTATCTGGCAAGTGGCACTTGAGAACCAGGCTTTGAAACAAGAACAGAAACCAAACGACGCAAGCGCTCACCATCTTTGATAGGCTTTTTGCAACCAGACAGGTTATGCCCCTCCTCCCCGCAATTGTAACAGAACTTCGTCGCCCCTTTTGAGGGCCCTTCTGAACCTCGCTCCGCCCCTGTTGCATTTGGACACGTCTTCAGAGTGTGGCCCCGGCCTCGACACCCCAGGCAAATCTGCCAGAAAGAGATGGTCTATTGTGAAACCCCAAAATCGTACAAGCGGGGGGGTGGAGGGCAGAAGAGTCCAGAAGGGCATTGGAAATGTACCAACTTATCGATGAGATGCGTTCGCAAACTGCGACTTAAATTGGCCATCATAGAGAAAAGTACTCTTAATCCAAAAAAAGGCTTGTGGAAGATTGACGCCTTCTGGCGCCCTTTCGACCAAGCGACACTAATTCAAAAGCAATGGCCAAGGATGGCAAAAAAAATAGCGGGGCAAACCCTAATTTGCAGAGCTTCGTTAAAGGGTACGGACAGGTATTCTGATGTGGCCAGTTGCTGTACGCACGACTGCAGTGACAAGCAGTGGCGGGTAGATCAAGACCAGTGCTTCAGCAGGACCATTACCAGCAAGAGGTGTGCAGTATCTGTGCACTCGATGCAAACCATATCAGGCGTGGTGCTCTCCAACTCTCCAGCTCGAGTGATGCTGGCAATGTCAAGCAGATTTTTGCACCACCATATCAAATCCACCCTCAATGAAAATGTGTGACAGTTTCTTCCAATCAAACAAGACAGCGACGAGGGTTCAAGTCACTTGCCTTGTGTCTGTTATTGCTGGGGCAATCACTTGAGCGGTGCCCGTCCTCTCCACACGCCCAGCAACTCCCCACCGGCTTTTCCGATCTCTTCTTGGCCGCTAGCTTTTCTTCCCTGGCCCTCTCTTTCTCCATCCTCTTCTTCCACCGCTCTAGTTTCAGCTTCTTATTGGTTGGTTTCAGCTCCTCCCCATCTGCGGCCGCAGGCTTCACTTCTTCAGGGACAGGGTTCTCATCCCGAAACTTCTTCCGCGCCAAGCGCTGCCGCTTGTTCCCCATTATGAAGGTCACGCCCCTAAAAGAAGACGACGTTAACCCGCTTGCTATTGACAGCTATTGACATATTGAAGACGTAAGACTACACAAGTTGCTGCAGAGCAACACCTGAGAATAGGAAATCTTCGAGGAATGGCTGCCCAGGGCCAAACTGAGCAGGCTGAGCTTGCTGTGCTTGCTGAGAGCATCACAGGTGGGGTCTCACTCACAGCCAAGAGATAAAGGAGGAAAAAGAGATAAAAGGGGAGAAATAAGAGAAAAAGAGAGATATCTAGGAGCGAATTCATCAGCGTAATGATTTAGGTATTCAACAACTTATGATCATACCGCTTATATACTGAGGAGCCTTGTTTGGCCGTCCGATATGTCATTGTAGATTACCGTGGCCGCTCGATGGTGTGAATTTTGAGTGTGACGACTAAATGACGTTGCATCAGGTTCAATTTGAAGCGACTGCGACCCCTCTATATAAGTGACACGCGGCCCAATCAAAATGGATGATTTTTGGACATGCGGCGTTCTGAGTGGGACCAAAGATAGGTACGCGTGAGCGTGCGTGCACCTCCAAATTGCGGCTGCGCCGGGGGATCGACGGTCGAGAACGAGAGGCTCTGTCTGTAGCTCCAATCTTTACCGTTGTCGCGTCGGCACGAATCGGAACTCAGCAGGAATTTGCTGCCTCAAACCTCAGACTTGCTCACCTCAGCACCGATCGATGTGGTTTTGATCGTGAGTCTGTGCCACCTTATCCCACCTTATTTAGACATCTGCGGCACGTACGTCTACATATGCATCACGACGTTCTGGAATAAAGAAGCAAACAGAGCTGATTTCAGTTCGTGTACTACAAAGATGTTTTGAGAGGCAGAAGCTTAACCATTTTGAACGATAGCTCGCTCTGATCTGCAAAAGTTCCTGAAGGGCCTTCTGGACTTCCTCTGGTGGGATAAACCTCGAGAAGCTGCACACATGCATAGAAGAGCATCACCCAGGCGTTGTCTGCACTATCTACGCAGCGACTAGGTGCCAGTAGTCTTCAACCAACCATACAAGTATCTATTGAGCTCGCTCCTACATATATCTATCTTTGTAAGTTTTGCAAGAGCTGAAGAGCAATCAAAATGCAGGATGAAGATGCAGCTAGCCCAGAGATGTCACCTGTGGCAAGCACATCCGCAGCAGACTACCCCATCGAGCCAGAGTTCAGCAAAAGGTGAGGTTCTGCCAAATCAGCCGATCTGGACCATCTCTCTTCGAATCTCTCTCTTTAATTAGTCCCTGTTTTAATGCACATGAGTTCCAAATGAGTTTATTAGCTGTGCTTCTCCTTTGAAAAACTGGTGTACTACAACCATAGTTAATTTCAAAGTAGGTTGACGGAATCCATTTCATCTTGCTTACATTCTGACGTGCTTTAGCTCAACTTTTGTCAGCTTCTAATTTACCACTGCTGCATTCAACATCCTACCAATCACCTGGCTTCCTAACTTGCTTTTGTGTTACTGACGAAAAATGGACAGCCAATCAGAGCGAATTATCTGCATTGCATTAGGACGCCCGGTGTCAGTAGCACCCCACCTTGTAGTCCATGCAGCATCACTCACGAAGTCCATGATGGACTGCGAACAAGTTACGCCATGAGCCCACACGACCATTATGTTGGACCATTTTGTTGGACCCTTGAGCTGCTCCATTAAAGGAAGCTGTTCCAAAGGCAGTCACGGTGTTGCCAAAGGCATGCCAAACTGACAATGGAGGGACTTGTGCAAAATCAAATAGGGTGGAGAATTTTCAAACATTACACGCTCCTCTTGACTTCTGATTGTCGGGACTTTTGTGGCCTGCAAAAATAAGTGCACCTTTGCAAAATTGCGTATCCTACTCTTCCAGGTTCCGGCCAGCAAAGGCGCGCACAATCATGAGCCAAGTCTTACGGTCAAAGTTGACAGGGGTGCAGTACCACGCGGACAATACGTCGGGCTGGACCACTGAAATTGCAGACGAAATCAAGACGAAGCTGAAAGGTACATGACATACTTCCAATACTTCTTCAATAGCAATGAGGATTGGGATGCGAGGTAGTGCATCGAAGTGCTTGAAGCGTGGAGAATGACGAGGTCTAGAGGTCTTCTTCATTCCTGTTGGGTGCTGACAAGACGTCTTTGGAACCCAACGGTATTGTGCTCCTTCCAAAGGACTCCATGGCTTTGGTACCGAACTAGTGGCCATCCTGGCCGCATGTCTGTCTGTGCGCTTGGTCTATTGGTTTATAACTCGTTACACGTTTCACAGCCGTTGAGCCACCGACTGAAGCTCAAAGCGGAGGGAGGTCGATCAAAATTCCTGAACATAGCTGAATACACAGATTCTTCTTCAGCAGTAAGAGCCAGCCACCGAAAGACGACTTTCGCTTCTACAGATGTAAAGAACTCGTACTTGGTGAGGCAAGCTCATTTCGTGATCTTCGCAAACCGTTCGTCCCAATTTTGCTGTGCAACACATCCGCGCAGAATCGGAGATGCCTGCACACTTTTCGCAGGTCTTGGCCTGGAACGATACAAGTTCGTTGTTCAGGTCGTGATTGGCGAACAAAGGGGAGAAGGCGTCAGAATGGGCTGTCGGTAAGCGGATGCGCCACAATTCTCTTCGTCTGCTGCTCTTCTTGTCCGTCCTCGGTTGAGCCGCCTCGAATATAAGTCTTTAGGTTTCTTGGCCTCAGAACGTCATCTGAATGATACTTTTGCAACTCGCAAGAAGTCATTAAGCTCATTTCTAAGATGACAGGTAGGAAGGTTCATGAGGGCTTTCCTTGAGACGATGCGATCACGCACGCATGCACACAAGTTATGAAATGGAGCCAATTTAAATAGCACTAAAACACGCGGTGCAACTTGTGACTTTTCCCGATGTTGAAGCGAGCAAGCTACATAGACCGTCTTGAAAGGCCATTGCTTGCTTGCTGCGGAAAACAGTACCATCCAGACCGGCTGTTTACTTTCGCTGTGCAGCTGCTTCTGGGATACAAACACGGACAACTATGCTGAAGAGACCTTCCTCAGCGAGACCATCTTTTGCGTCGCTACAGCATTTGGGGTATACTTATACTGACTTTGGCGAGAAGATGAGGGCGACCAGATTGGATGACCAGAATTGACACGAACTACGTTGGAAAGACTTCGGTCAGAGAGTGTATATAGGCGTGAGTAGATTCCATCAAGCTTAACAGACCTAGGCCCAACATGGAAAAGCAAACGAACGTACGAATGAAGTGTGAGTCCTTGACCGCTAAGCCACTATTATATGGCGGTTCCACGGTCCACTGAAGCCTCGACAAGGAACGTTCAATCCGGTTTCCCACCAAATTCAATAACCGTCAGAGTAAGAGCCCTTGTGCTGCCAGTCTGCATGACCCCCGGCCAGGGCGGCCGCGCCACCTATTCGCGCATCAGCTTGATCGAACATATTGCACAGAGATATCCGTAGGGAAAACGCGAACGAACCGTCTAACGCCGCCGGCGATCTAGGAACGGATGGAATACACATCGGCCCGCAATACCCGATCATCCTTATAAAATATATACTACATCAATCACTAGATACGTGTGGATTGCCAACTCAGACATGCAACCGCATGCATGTGGTTGGCAAGCCCTCGCACGCGCGCACGGCATTACAACGATCTGGCGGCAGTATAGTGTGCGCCGGCGTTTAAACGGAACCTAAATCCGACTTTCAGCTTGCATCCATAGGCATCATATGATCGCGCGGAACTATAGAAGGCTTATTTCTACCAATAGATATCGCGGCGCATGACTAATATGGAGTTGCGTACACTTGTAGTGAAATATATGTCCATGTTAATTACTCACTCGACACGTGGGCCATCCACCAGGCGTGTGCTCGTCAGACGGCCTGGGCTAGTAGGTAACCATGTATGCATGATGATTTGCAAGACAGGCAAAGGTTCACGTGCACTGACACATGTCGGCCTGTATCCAGTACTCAGTGATTGAAGCCCAAAATGAACCGACCTTTCAAGACAGAGAAGTGCGCGCTGCAGTGCCCCCTGGAAAATATACAACGGTATGTACAGAGTCATGACGGACATCACTGAGGGCCGATTATAGAAGCCAGCGCAGCGCTCTGCTACTCGCCTCCAACGTGATACAACACCTTACCCTCCTTTCTATACGCGTTCAGCTTACTGTGTTCCATGACCCGCTTCCCCTTCGACAAACTAATTATGTCCACAAAGTGGGCGTCCCAAATCACCTCAGCGTCCGTGACGAAGAACATCTGGTCCGCGAAAACCGGCTGCATCGAAGACCGTTCCGTGGCCATCACTGTCAGCTGCAACATGGATCACACGGCAATATTAGTGAGTTCACACTTTGCTGGCAACGTGAGCCAATATCGTCGTGTTTCGTGTTTGCTCTAAAAGGTGCAATGCTGCCGGTCGGTTCAGCAGCCGGGACAGGTTGTCTGGGTTCGCCTATCAAGGTGGGGCAATCGACCCGACCTACTAGTGACCTGTATCTGAGAGTAGGTATGAAAGGGAGCAAAAAGACTTGGACTCAAATTCGAGGCATGATGACGACCGGTTCTGAGCAACACCGACAACCCGCCCAACTTCCTTGCCGACCAGTTGCAGAAACGAAGAGGAAGTTGACAGATAGGTTCAAATGCTCGAGCGCAGACCTTCGTGTCGAGGTGACTGGAGAGCACTACCCAACCACTTTTCAGCAGGAAGAAAGTCCAATGCCAGGCGATTGGAAGGACATCAAAGTGAAAAGAAGAAATCTCGATACCAGAAAAGCAAACCTCTAGTCGTCGCGGCGTCGCATCCGACAGGGTTCAAACATGAGACTGCGCCACTCGCGAGCGCGTTCACACTTGGAAAAATGGTTGCGACCCGCTCGACCTGCGAGCTCTCACCTGAAAGTTGGCGTCCTCCGCCAGGAGCTGCTCTTGGCTGCAGGCGCCGAACAGAGGGCTCTCCTCGTTGATGACGTGGCGAATGAGCATGCCGTACCGCAGGCTGGACGACTGGTATAAGACGGCGAATGACGTCAGCGGATCCAAGCGAGGCCAACCCTTGGTTCAAAGTTTGCGGATGGGACAGAGTGGAAAGCGTCAAGGGCCCTCGAAGAAGCTTTCAACTTTGCACGTCCACTCTTTCTTATGCAAAGGCGCTGCCCCGCATTCGAAAGGCACCTCGGGGTTCAAACTTTTGAGATAGCCGGTATCCTTGATAGCAGCACCGCTCTGTTGCTGTGCCCGAAGTCGAGACTCCGGAATGCCCAATGGAATGAAGACCCCGCCAATGCAGATATGAAGACGCTCTTGGAAAGAACCATGATATGGTTACAATAAAGGCATTGAAGCGTTTGAGAAGTAGAAGGGATCCGCCACATGTCCCGGAAGCTAATTGGAGCGAGGAAGCAGAGGCAACCGGTCAACTTTTGAAAGCGTTTCAGAACGGCCAGAGTGGGGAGAGAGGTCTAGGATCTTCTCATGGCGATGACCAGCAAATGGGTCGTCTTTACATGGTAGTCACCTCATGGCAAGGAACATTTTCGGGTGCCACACTAAGCTCCTCGGTTTATGTGCTCACGCCCCAAAACTGCGCGGACGGTTGCTAAGTGGGACGGTTCCGCTTTCGAGAGTAGGGTTCTGCTTTCAAGCTTTTCCGTCTCCAACCTCGAAAAGACGTCAGAAAGTTAAGCTCCCGTCTTGAGGACCGCTTTTGCAACCTTTTTCTGTCGACACTTTCGTCTGACAGCCGTAGCCAAGGATACGTAAGAGCAAAGCGGAATCCGGGCTCTTGAAAACTGCGAGCTCTGATATTGCTCAGGCTCAAAATAAAGCGTTTTCTGCAGATTGTATATTGAAAACAGAGAGGGGCACGCTTCGTACCTCTGATCGGACCAGTTTGAGGGAGTGCGTGGACATGAAGGGGGATCCCCCCGGCAACTGCATCATGTGACGGTACACCAAGTCCAACTTGGCGTCGATCAGGTTCGAACCAGGTCCCGTCAGGACGAGGCGCGTCATCAGAATCCTGCAAGAAGGATAGGCGTGACGTCAGCAGAACAAAACCTGAGATTTGACTGATAATAGACTGGTCGAAATAACCCAAGAAAAGGACGCAACTACGATAGACATGAGGTATTCTAAGAGGGAATGATGCTGTCAAGCAGAAGCAGACCGAACAACTTTTTTGTTAGGAGGCCCGAGACAAGAAAAATGGACAAATTGACGTTTAACATCTCACTTCGAAATGGACAGTTGCCTTCTTGGACTCAAGATCGAAAACAAGAGGGACGGAGGACCTGCGAACACAGTCTGAAAGGTTCACAGAATGAGAAAGCGTTCCTTGAAGAACAATCTGCTGATGATCAGAATGATAACAGCTTCTGTCCGAAGTGAAGCAAGGACCAAGATGATTAGCGGCTTCAGAGGGCGTGTGTCAGGGATGCAGCCACTTAGCCAGCCACAAGAATATACTTATGTAAAAGCATCATTTGACACAGCACCCCACTTTGTTGTTGACAATGCTGCTGCCCTTTCATCGCCCATATATGCTTCCATTAGACTGAAGAGCTAGGCGTCCAAGATAAGAAGAAGCTGGAAATTGCGTTTTATGTGCAACTTCAAAGTACGCTCTTACTTGTACTTCTTGTCTGCGGAGCTGTCGCGCTCCCCTTCCCCCTCGAAGAAGTCGTCTGTAAGGATCGCCAGCGTTGCGATTCTCACGGGCTGACTCGGCTGGCTCAGCCGTTGAAACACAGCGCCGCTTAAGAAGACGAACATAAGCTGAGCTACCAGCGTGTTGATATTTGCCACAAGGAGACAGAATGGTGAGCGAGCGTCAATACGGGAGGCCCCGAACGTTGTAGACAGCGACAGGCTGTACAGGTATACTTCGAGCAGCACGCCTTGTTGCCCCAGCCTGGGGACGCGGCCCTCTGACAGCTCCAGGAGGGAGACCGTCTGCTGCTTCTCTTGGAAGATAAATCCTGCGATCAAACAAAAGATGAGAATTCTCTTTCCTGTCTCATTGTAATCCATGGGCACGGGCTCGCTTGAGAAGAGGCCACCAACTTCCATTTGCGGCAGCAGCGGCAGACAGCCTATCAATCTTCCCCCTGCATAAGCAATGGATTAGCAATGCATTGGACATGAAGTTTTGTACAATCCAGTCTAAGGTCTGCCGTCCCTGCCATGATTTCTTACTGACCCCATTCTGATGCGATGGTGAATGATGATCAACGGGCTTGACATGCGAGAACATTGTTCCAAGGAAGTTGAAGGACTGACCTTCAAGGTCGAGAAGGTAGACCAGTGTGAAAGGCATTGCAACGAGGAAAGGCGCCAGCATACAGTAGAACGTGAACAGGTGTGCCGGGAGGCGGAGGAGGTAGATGTAGCTGTCGTAGAAGTGCGTCCAGAGGGACGTGTCCTGCTTCACCACCACGTTCCGCAGGGCCGCCCGTCCTTTCAGGGGGGACGCATTGCCCTGGCCTGGCTCCCCTCCCTCCACTTTCCGAAACCCGAACTTTTCCTCAGCCTTCCCTTTGAGAGAACTCCATTGCTTGGACAGGCCAGTGTATCCTTCGGAATCAAAGAGGTCGGTGAAAGAGCGCTTCCGTTGGAGCCACTCCTTGAAGGAGGACTTCTTCTGCAGCCTGGGACGGGGGCCTCCCACAGGGGCACTGCTCGGGCTCTGCTTGTCAGCATAGGTTACGGTCTCAGAGCTTTTGTCTTCAGCAATATTTTGAGTAGGTCGAGCAGCATTCCGGTGGGACAGCCCCATCGCAGACTCTACGGCATTGCATGCTGACAAAGGGCGGCTGCTGGTTTCCCTCACAACGGCAGCACCAGCTGACTCACAGCTTGGAACGCTGTCGTGCTGTCAACATCACCATTTCATCCAGGCAGGAACGCCACTGCAAAGGGCACCCTGATCAATGCATTCCAGATTCCAGTGCTCCTTGGACCACATGCAGTGCGATTGATGAAATTCACATGGAGGAAGCTGTCTGCGAGTGTGGAAGAACTTGCTTTGACACTATTCGACGGAGAGGGCTGGCTTTGGTATACCAGTGATTAATCTGGCGACCGATGTGGACAATTCAGGCATCAAGATCGACATCTCCGGTCAGCCTGGTGGCTGTGTAGAAGCTGCATTCTGAATCAGGAATGACCGGGGGCAAGACACTGGCAAAAATGGTGTCAAAGCGTACAGAAAGGGGCATCTTTCTGAAAAGACGCAGCTTGATCAGAACATCTTGTGACAGCTGGCAACTGGTGTAGGTACCTGAGCCAAATTTTTTGCACAGCTGGCCCAAACAAGAAGACGACCTGTGCGCCCCCTCTTGTTTCTGAGCTTGCAAAATTGCTTCCTTCCGACCATTGTCCCCGCTCTGGCAGTACCTATTTTTGCTTTTCTTGGGGGCAGTGCATAGGTGTTGTGGGATCCCTTGAAGAAAAGATAGAGGAAAGCCCGATTCTACTACGAGCCGATGCTCTCACAAATCGTTCCTGCTCCCTTGCTGTGCAACAGAGGCTGTGCTCTTCTCAAGCATGCTCACAGCTAACAGACAGTCGCGTTCTTTGCGGTACAATGCAGAATCAGTTTGAGAAACACATTCATGAGCGTTGCCCTTGATAGAACCATTGTTAAGGCATTTGAAAAAGATGGGCAACTGCTTTGGGGAGCCAGCGGAGGTTGAAGCAAAGGACAGCTGGCTCGATGAAAAGACGAAAATTGGGGCGGGGGCACATTTAAGAGATGATTACAAAGTTTTGGGAGGCAGCATTGGGTATGGCAGGGTGGCGACTGTCAGGTCAGCTTGCATGCAGAACCCCCTCTCATGGGTTTAAATGCGTTTCTCCTGCCACTGTTCTACTTCTTGATCAGCGATTGATTCTGCCACGATTTTGTATGGTCTACTTACACCATTTGACTTCTGGTATCAGCCAGCAATCTGCTTATCAACTGGAGTATAATGCACCATGATGTGAGAATATTGGTGTCTTGACGCACAATGCTTGAAGTGATATAACCGCCTGCAATCTATTGTGTTGTTCTTCCTGAAGTCAAAATAATAGACAACACAAAGTTTTTAAATTCTATGACTTTTATTGGGATGTTGAAAGGTCAACTGATATGCAGGCAAGGAGTCGAAAAGAGGACGGGAAGGAAGGTGGCCATCAAGGCCTGCTCCAAGAAGGTGCTGTCCACTCGGCCCGCCAGAATAAGCAAGGTCTCAGAGATTCACGCCCTGCAGAAGGTATCGAACACACCCCTCAAACTTTGCACCTGCTAAAGAAAGTCGTCTTACTTGGCCACGGTATTTTGGACTGTGGGACAATCTGCTCTGGACGACATCGTCTAGGATTGTGATGGTTGAATTTTTACGAAGTAATGAGGGTGTGAGAAAATCGGGGAAATGTGAAAACAGTGAGGCGTCTTCATTGTTGTCCAAAGATGAGGGGAGTTGAGGGTGGCAAGGTCTAAGCTTTCTGAACCTCCAGGTCTCTGGAGATTCAGCCACTCTTGGAGAGTTGCCGCTCTTGCAATCTAGATCGTTCTGGGTTGCTGATTTTGACCCCAAGTTTCCCCTCTGCTTTTCGAGTATTCCAGTTTAGAAACTCGTGTTGTTTGTTTCCAGGGCCAACAGAGGGGCAGAGAGAGGTCGTCAAAGCCTTTTCAGAAAGAAGATTCTCTAAGAGTTCTTTACTTGACATTGCATGATGAATCCAGCTTTTCTGGTCGACAGACGTGAGCCACAAACCAGCACTTTTGAAAACGATATGGAGGAGAACTGATTGCGTGGGAGACCTGAGATCCTGAACGCAGGTCAAACTGTCTCAAGCGTGTCTGACAAAACCCTGCACCAAGGGATGTAAGTTCTTGATCTTTTTGTTGTTTCTCATATACCAAAAGGCCTTTGAGCTGGGAAGAACTCGCCGAGCTCTTGTAAAATCAAAGTCCTGAGTTAATGTGCACACCAACGGGACTCGAACTTGTGACACGATTGCCCGTGTCTTTTCTTAGTGGAACACTGGCCTACACCTACGGTGTTCAAACCAAAAGCTTTCTCGTTCAATCTTCACACATATGTGGGGCACACGGACATGAACGAATTGAGGATGCCGCTCCAAAACCAATGAGGTTTGACAAACAGAAACATGATAAGTATGTTGAGTTTTACCTGGTTCTTTCGCACAGATATTTGAGGGGCACGCACACACAAATAAGGTGGTGGAGCTGTATGCCACGTACGAAGACGCCATTTACTTTTACATCGTCATGGAGCTCTGCAGTGGCGGAGACCTCTTCCAAAACCTTGCAACGCGGGACGTCTTCCTGGAGCAGGACGCTGCCTACATAAGTGAGCCGAATTGTCTTTGCCCATTCTTGCCTTAGTGAACCGGGCGATGCTGCAAGTCTATTAGCATCTAGAATCGACACTGCAATACGTCTGTTGAAAGGAATTTTCGCTAAGAAAGGCTGCGGGCGTCTACTCTTCCACGGCTTTGGACATAGGATTCGGATCATGAGAATTGCGAAAAAAGGGATGTCAGGGGAGTCTTGGGATTTCAGGAGAAAGCCTTGTCAAGGGTCGCAGGGAAAGCCGATTATATATTCTGGTGATTTCTCTCTGTAAATCTGGTGCAAATTGAAGGAATTGTACTGAGCGGAAAGCTCAAGGCACGTGACGACTTGCGAACCTTAGACATGACACGCAAGCTTGTTCTTTCTCCGACGTGTTGTCCTGTTGAGACAGGCTCTTGATCAAATATCAAGTATTGTTTGGGAACGGTGTGAATTTGTGATAGAGTCTGTTTCGGGCACCTTGATTAAGGCAGAAGTGGATCGACTTTGAACATATACGTCAGGAAGTAGATAGGTTCACGTTGGCTTGAACGTCTAGCCACTGAGCTGGCCAACGCGTCTGTCCTTCTTCCAGACGGACGAAGTATTGACCCCTTTTTGTTAAGAACGTTCTGTCAAGCAGGGTTTCAACAACTCCCCTCCCACTGGTGTGATGAGTTAACAACCTTCCTGGCGCCCTGATCTGCGCCCGCTGAATGTATTGTGCAGTCCAGCAGCTGCTTCTGGCGATCCAGCACTGCCATGCCCACCGAGTGGTGCACCGAGACCTGGTGAGACCCCCCTTCCTCCTCAAAAGTCGAAAGAACCGTGAGAAAGTGTCCCCTTCTCGCATTGTTATGGGTTGACTCTCCGCCGCCCTTGAACCAGACTACTAAAGGCCCCGCAAAGCAGAAACGGAAGTTTCAAACTTCGACCATGTGCGATCGTTCGCTCACATATTCCAACAGTCCAACATTTTAATAGTCTTTGCCTGGACCCTCTGGCCTCCTTGAAATCTCCATCCCTAGCATCCAGCTCTCCTTTATCTTCCAGCGCTTCTCCTCCTCTTCTTGTTCCTTACCTTTCTAACATTCTCTTTCTCCCCGACCTTTCTAACATTTCCTCCTTTAATGCAACAGAAGCCGGAGAACATTCTATTTGTGAACGACCACTCCTTCGACATCAAGCTCGTCGACTTTGGCAGCGCGGCCATAGTCGACGACTCCACCGTTCTGCGCGACTTTATGGCGACCCCTTTCTATGCGGCGCCCGAAGTGTGGGAGCGGCACTACGGGCCCGAATGCGACATCTGGAGCATCGGGGCGATCCTGTACGTGCTGGTCGGGGGCCTACCGCCTGCGCTTACGCGGCAGACGGCGCACAAGAACCCTACCTGGGTCGACTTGCAGGTGAGGAGAAAAGCGGTGGACTTCGGCCCTTGTACGCTCCAAAGTGCTTTTAGCAACTTCGTGATTGACTGGCCCGTCTCTTCGCGTTCATCGATCATGACTTCGCTGATGCGTGATAGGACTCTGGCCACCTTGTGGCTTCAGATCAATCTTCGAACTTGGCAGAGTCCACAAGGATTCTGAATGCCTGCGCGCTTTGAAATTTGGGCTTGGGACTTTCCCGATCCAGCGCTAAGTTTCTATCGTCTCTTGACGTTCGAGTACGACCAGGTTAGCGAGGGCGGGGCTGTCGTTTCCAACTCGAAGTTTCGCTGCTATTTCTGGGGGGCCTTCGGCTCTGTCTTAAGCTGAGATGGACAGTTTGCTTGTTTGTCACTTCTCGTCTCTCCTCACTCGCCCGCATTCTCCCCCTATCACCTCTCGCTTGACCCCAATGAACCTCGTTGACTTTAGCCCCCCCACTCCTCCCTATTCTGAGATCCCAGGTGTTTTCCCAGGCCGGAACAAGTTCGGACCTGCCGTTGTTGTGTGTCATATCGCGCACCGGCTTCATGCTTCCGCGTCCCTCCCCTAAGGTTCCCACTTCGACTCTTACCTGCTCTTACACCTTCTTATTCTGACCTTGCACTCTGCCTTTCCCACTCGGATCTCAGCACTACCTCGTAACCCTCTCGTTAACCTAGGCCGGCAAGGTGACGAGCCTGCCCTTCCACCTCAACATTCACCCATGCTCCAGTTCTCCCCGTGCTTCGCTCCGAGCTTTCAACTCCGAGTGTCCACACCCCATTTTCAACCCCGGCCTTGCACCGTGACTCTTCCATTCAGTGTAGACACTAAATCATAACCCTGCTCTTAACCCAGGCCGGCAAGGTGACGGGCCTCCCAGAGCACATCTCGCCCGAGCTGCGCGACCTGCTGACGCAGCTGGTGGAGCCGGACCCGGAGAAGCGGGTCACCGCGTCGGCGGCGCTGCAGCACCGCTGGATCCGGGGCGAGGGGCAGCAGAACGCGCGCAACCTGGAGGGGTCCATCCGCAACATCCGGGCGTACCAAAAGATCCGCCAGGTGCGTAAAGAACGGAATTCCGCTTGTGAAGAAGCGGAAATCATATGTTGACTTCTGCCGTCTCGTTTGTGGGCGACTGAACATGGCTGCCGGCTCTTCAAATTTGGTGCTAACCGTGCCTCCTCAGATTTCTGGTCGTATCGAAAGATCCGCCTGGTGCATAAGGACGGAGTTCTGCCAGTGAATCTACATATGGATTTTTTTGTGTCTTTGGGTGGGCGGCTCTGTATGGGCTGCCGGGCTCGAACCTTGGAGTCGGGTTAAGCGGCCACATTCACAAGTTGTGCAAACGTCGACGTAGGTTTTGTGTTCCATATTGGACCACGCGTGTAACGGTACGTCGTTAGAAAATTCTTCGGACGCCAGTCACCCTTCTCAGATTTCGCCGCTGGTCCAGATCCCTCTTTTTGGCGATCGGAATCTAGGCCTTCCAGATGTTTTCTGGCGTGGGGGGGACGGCTCAATTGCTTTGGATAGCAGGATCAATTCTGGTCAAAGCGGCCAGCTTTGAAACGACTATTTGCATTGCCCGGTCACAACAATCAGGCAAAACTACATAAGTCGGCCCTGCCTGCATATTCGTCATTGCGGACACGATTTGGGGTGATTTGAACCAGCGGCCGGAAATGTTGACAGTTCTGCGGTTTGCCTACCAACCATTACAGGTACTGCGCAATCTTGCGCTTTTATAGGCGCCACATAACCTTGCTTTGAGCTCCGACTTAGCTACAGGAAGTGCTATGTGCTCGCTGGCTCGTTAATTATACGCCCAACAGACGTATGTCAGCGTTGACTTTGAATGCGCCAACACATGTTGTCCAGGGGGTCGTTCTTTCCCGTTGCGGAATCTCGTCAATAGTTCCTCGTCTTGAAATCAGCACCCAAAACCGTAAGGGGCCCCCCGTCACTCCTCAGTTTCCAGTGTCGCGGTCGAGGGAAGTAAAATACAAGCTCGACGATTGGAACAACAATCTGCCCGCATCCCGGACTCTTCCTCACCCCTTTTCCGTCCGCGCTTGCAGTTTCAAAAGGCGGCCGTTGTGCTGCTCTCTGTGACCGTCGATTCCGACCAGATGACTCTGCTCGCAAACAAGATCCGGCAACTGAAGGTGGGCGGCTTTTTCAGCTTTCCTACTGACTTGCGCATGCTGGTTACCTGCTTCGAACATCGCCCGTAAGGGTGCCCATTAATCGAAATCGAACAGGCTGAGGATTGTAATCCGATCACCCGATCCCACTTCCGGTGAGCATGTGCTTAGGAGGTACGTTCCGGCTCCTAAAGATAGACAAAACGAATGGTCCTGAGCTCTTTGGGGCGAGTGAATAGCAAGGGACGCGGACCCAGCGTGGACGCTTTTGTACACACTGCGCGGAAGTTTGTCTTGACAGCGAACCACTTGCCGTACCTGTGCTCCGGTTTTTCGACCACCGAGCTGCGGTTGGGGGGGAAGAACGCTGCGAACTAACAGTGTCCTGCTATTGGACCCTTCGTTTCTCGCATTTTCGCTTTCGCGTACGTTGTCGGTAGGGCCACCTCAGTCCGTCAGTCAATCAGCATCTGGACACCGACTGACGATCGCATTGGATTGAAGAGCCGCGCTCACCACGAGCCCTGCCTCCGGGTTGGTCTGAAGACCCACCAAAACTGGTTTTTGATTGACACTATAGCCACTGGCTGACTGCCATCGTCTGGCCTCGTGCAGGGAAGCAGCGGCGACCTTACCGAGCTGGAACTGGAGGCGCTGGTCGCCGACGTCGGGTTGAAAGAGCAGGCGAGCCAGCTGGTCGCCCTGCGCGTGCGCATGCTTGGAACCGACGAGAGCGACGCGTTTCTTTCGTTTGATGCCGCGGACTTTCTCGAGATCCTGGAGTGTCGGCAGCTGGCCGCCCAGCAGAGAAGGTCGCGGGGCCGGAAAGGGTCCGGCCGGCGTGCCGCGCAAACCCTGGATAGGATTGACGAGTTGTCGGTCGCGGGGCCGAGGATCTCTTTTGATGAGAGCGGAGATGGTCGTGCGCACATGAGTCGTTTGGGGAGCAAGGGGCGGTCGTGGCACCATTTAGATACGCTGGGATCGTTAGAGAGGATAGCAGATGGAGACGAAGTGGAGGACGAACAGTCCTCGTCACCGATCATGCTGAGTCGGGCAAAGACTTCGTCGCCCCTTGCGAAAGTCCTCAAGGCTGGAGGAGAAAAGCTGTCCCCGAAGAAGAGGAAACAAAAACTCGACCGCCTAGTCACAGTGCATGGTCCAGGCTTATACGCTGCGCTCATGAGGAGCGGTGAAGCAGACGGTATGCGAACCCATAGTTCAAAAGAATAATGCCTTGTTGTGAGCTTGCATAATCCGCCCCTCCGCTTCTGTGTTGAAAAGCTCATGCAACTTTAATCTAACCACATCTGCCCCGGAAAGTGATGTGGAGTGAATGCAAGGTGCTTGCAGTAGTGCTAGTGTACAATCCAATAGGATCGTCATCATTGAAAGGTAAACCGAAAGATTCTTTTCTTATAAGTTTGTGTGTAGATAAGTCTACCGAGTAAGTTAAGGTTCGGTATGGAGGTCATATAATTGAAAATCACAATGCTGGTAAATCGTATGCAATTACGTCGTTTCTTGCTGGGGTTTGTCACAATTGAGGAGTGAAATCAGGAGACCTCTTAGCGTGTGATCCTAGCTCGCATCCATCAGGCAAGAGCTTGCAGGAGAAGTTCGCTGAGAAAGATGCAATGATAAGTGGGGGCCAGATGATATTTTCTTCATGCAAAGTGCAAGATGCTCAAGCTGTCAAGGTTCAAAGCTGAAAAGCTCCAAGAATCGATACGTTCTAAGTTTAGCGGAATTTGGACGATGTCCGGATTGCTGACCCCACACCATGTGATACTACCATGTGTCACGCGCCCCATGCCTTTGATACGCACGGGCTTTACAGCTTTAAGAGAAGTCTCCATACCGTACTCCAAACGCCGGCCCGGAGAACGGAAAGACGAGGACTCAGTAATCAGTAATCAGCATGCTGGAATGCTGGATAGGTTCTCGCATGGTTCATGTATGTATGTCCATTTCTGTGTGGCTAGTAGGTACGTAGTAGGTACCAGTAGGTAGTACCGGTACTACAAACAGCCATCGCCCGTGCGACATCATGGCGGAACTGGCTGCACCATGTACACCTTCCGGTGTCGACATCGCATTGCCAAGCGCAACTGGCCGGCCCGGCGGCCCGGCTCGAGCCCAGTACTCATCGTTGTACACAATCTGTAGTACGGTACCGAGGTTGGTACCGTACCTGTGTAGGTACAAGCTGCTCATTGTGCTTCATGGCGCCATTTCACACCGCTCCCAAAGTATTTTCAAGGAGGTTAGTGGAAACACCCGGTTAAGTGGGTAGCTACAGCCTATACCCGCCAGGGTGCACACTCAAGCCTCAAGGTGACACAGCAGGTACACTGCATCAACGCACCCGGGACTTGGGAGTCGGAACTCGGGACATACCGGTATCCGACTCTGGCGAATCTTTTTCCACGACTCACGCGAATGAGGACATGAACAGATGTCAACACACGTTTCGTTCAACTTCGTGGAAAGTGGGTGCACCTCAGCCGGTACAAGTAAATGGAGTCGTATGAATTGCATACCCAGTAAGATTTCTGTCCTCGTGCGTTCTAAAACTTGGGTACCTATAACACTAGGCAGTGTAGGCACTAGATCTGACTAGACCCTCACGGGTGCGCCCGGGAACTCGTTCTGCAAGATTGGGTACAATTATTTTCTCATCGTTTGTGCCCGGTGGTTGTCAGAGGGCATATCAATTTTTGCAAATTTCACTGTCCGCTACGCGGTAGGTACCTGGGTGTCAGAGTACAGTCGGTATGTACCAGGTGCTTGATGGTGTCATCGAGTCCACCTGGCAAAGCGAGTTGCAATTGATTAATTGTTTAGTGCACTAACTGATGCAAGTTAAGCAAACAAGACACAGCCTAACCGCCGACATCGGGGACTATGAAGACCCCGAGGCCGTCCGATGTGATATACAGAAGCGAAGGGCGTACGATTGGGGGCTCAAGTGCAAACGGTTAGGTGTGAAGTTTGACACAAACCAACCTACCGTTTAAACATGGATTTACCAGTGGGCGGCCTTAGTACGAGGCAGGAAACAACACCTGGCAGGAAATTTCTGCGCAACCCCTCTCAGTACAGCGCTCGAGTCTTGATCTAGGTACTGCTCAGTCATGCGGACTGCGCCCTCTACTAAGTTTTAGGGGTCACGACTCACACAGTACACTGCAGCCTCCTTTCCTGATGCCAAGTTGGAAGTGTTGATAGCGATTGGGGCAGACCTCTGTCGGCGCTTGCAGAAGAAGGCGCCGTTTCTGGAGGACGGCACCTGACAGGGAGGGCTTACAGGAAGAGTTGGGAAAATTGTCACAAAGTTTTAGGTTTTGTAGCCGAGGAGACGCGGCTGTGACAGTTTGTTTTCACCTTGTGCTGGGCAGGCCTTTTTGAAGATCAGAGATGGCGGGAGCAGTAAAGCCACTTGCTTCGCCACAGCTTTCAGAGGCGGGCCAGGTTATGGATGATGAGGACCCTTTCATCATCCCCCCGAAACCCCCTGTCGACGCACTACGAAAATGGCGGGTATGTTGCCATCCCTTCTGCATGAGTCCTGGTTGAATGCTCTCAGGACGCGAAAGTGGTGCGGATGTGCGATCGTTTGCTTTTGGAATTCAACGTCTATGGTTTCTAATCAGAATCCCACGTATGCAGAGTGCCACGCTGGCGTTGAATGCATCAAGGCGCTTCCGGTACACCGCAAACTTGAATCGGGTTGAGGAGAGGAGACTGCAGCGCCTGGGCCGTTTCAAAACAGCAGGACATGTTGCCATGGTGAGTGCCAACAATATCATCATGCCAGCGTTCCCTGTTTTCAACCCAGCAAGGAGGAACTCAATTTGTGAAAGTGCTGAATTCCATCATTATTCTTTGAGCTGCATGCATATCAAGGATTTCCTAGTTGGTGTCCCAGCATCAAATTTATGTAAGGTAACATGGAGAAGAGAGGCTGGTGTCTCTGACGCTACTTGCGCTTTTGTGAATGCAGGCTGCGGCCCGCTTCAAGAACTCCACTTTGAAGAAGACACAGGAAGGCAAGTTACTTGACGCTCGCATCCTGATGGTTGAGCTGCTTCGTTCAGCCCTTATGTGTTGCATAATGTGATCGAATCAGACGTGTTCGCTTTTGTGATTCGGCTTCCTTACTTTGATATGCTGCAAGCAACTGGATTGCTGTCGTCTTCATTGATGGCGAGTTGTTGTTTTCCAGTTGCGGTGCCGGCAGATTATACTGCGGAGGAGCTCTCGGACCTTGTTGCAGCAGGAGACGCGTCAGTTCTTCCTCAACTGGGAGGGGTGAGTTTCAAGCTTCCTTTGAATAGTACTCACTGTTTTCAAATGATTAATTTTGCAGCTTGTGTTGCTTGTAAGCCATGCCTTGCTTGCGGTGGAGAGCTACAGGCGCTTGAACTCAATTTGTGGTTTGTCCTTTAGACACCTCCATGTGAGATGTTGAGCTTCAACAAACAATCGGAGTACCCCTCACAGGCAAGATTGGTGTGGCGAGAGCTGACATGTCAACAAATCTGTTGATCTGATGTAAAGATTGGTGGTATGCTGGTTGTTCCCGTGCAATAGTCAGGCGCCCAATGAGTAACTTTAGACGCTTGTTTGCTCTTGAGAAGGGACATCGGGATTTGAAAACTGAAGACCGATGACCGATGGTCGATGACATGTCGGCAACAGCTAACGCCATGATTGAGCTTGGCAGTCTATTCCCTTCGAAAGTTTTATGGAGCTCAGGTTGTGCAGCTCAGGAGCATCTGGCAGCTGAGAAGAACTCTTTCATGGGAATGTGGGCACAGCAGAATGCCACCATCGCCTTTTCGGTGAAAAGTTCAAGTGGCAAAAGAAGCAATTTCTTTCCACCCTTTTATTCAGCTCATTGGATATTTTGATTGCTCCAGGTTCAAGGAATTTGCCAGACCTTGAAGACTGATCCTGAAGACGGCATTTCTGGAACTCCAGAGGATGTCGCGGCCCGCCAAGAGAAGTTTGGAACCAACACTCATCCAGAGAAGCCGCGAAAGCCTTTTTGGGTATGTGTTTCGTTGAGCTGCGTGTTGGGAGCTACTTCATCTATGATTGATGCCGGCCTCTTTGAGCTGACCATGTCAACAGCAGATTGATCGGATTATAGCTTACTTTCCCGTTTGGTCGTCGATGCTGCAAAGATTGCCAATATATCTTGGTCTGCATACCTCAGCATAGTGTTAGCCATCTACCATTTTCCTCCATACTTTGCCACAGTGCTTGTTCAGCTTCCCACGAAGCTGTCAACCAAACCCTCCCTGCATCTTTTGTCCGCAGCGTTTTGTTTGGGAGGCTTGCCAGGACACGACTTTGATCATCCTAGCAATCTGTGCTGTTGTTTCCTTGGCGGTGGAGATGAATACACAGGTGAGATGAGATTGATCAGAGAAGCATCAAAAGAAAGCGACTATCTTTGTCAATCACTTGGCTGAGACCATTTGTGCATGTAAGCATACATGGATGAGAAGTAGTCTGCCAAGAGCACCGTTGTGAAACATGAAGTGCAGAAAGGGAAGTGGTCGCTACGTAAGGGTCAGTTTAAGGTGGTGACCCAATCGGGCTTCAGCTGACATCCTTGTTTGTTTTGCCAGGGAACGAAAACTGGGTGGTACGACGGTGCAGGCATTGGTTTTGCCGTCACCCTTTGTGTTTTTGTCACAGGTCAGTCTGTGGAGCAATGACTGTTTTTTTTGTTCTTGGCTATCTTACAAATTTCAGGTGGCTGTAGTGGCCAGTGGTGTCATCTGTGGTCATAACAACCACTAATGTGTTCATGTGATCCGGGAGATGTTGACATGCAGCGCACCTTCCTTCTTGAGAGAGAGGCGTTGCTTGGTTGAGTCCCCTCCTGATTTTCAGGATATCTCGTGTCAGCCAGGTTTTACTCTGGCTAAGATCGTTGTTTGGTTTGGCACGGTCTCGAGTCGAGTTTTCTGAAGAGAAAGGCTAAGTTTTTCTCGAGCATGCCCTGATGTTCCCATGTTTCACAATGTTTGCAGCTATCAGTGATTGGAGGCAGTCCCTGCAGTTTGCGAACTTGAATAAAGAGAAGGGCAAGATCTACATAAATGTAAGTATGGCTTGCAGTTCCCTTTGCCACTGCTACTGTCAGGTAGTCAACCACAGCTTTGAAAGACGTATGTTGCACCATTGCTGGAAGCTGATGCGATTTTGTTTCTTACGCATGGTGAAGAAGGCACACACTGCCAGCTTTCCACAAATTGGACTGATCATCACAAAAGCAGGGGACTCTGTTGGTGCTTGGTGGTTCGAGATAATGAGGATCTGAATCTTCTGAGGATCTCAAACTTCTTTAGAGCCTGACATCGACCAAGTCTGCGAGTCCGACTTGTGGTAAGCTGAAATCGTTGTGATTTTAGACATGCCAAGAGGGATTGTGCTGGCTGCTTCTGGTCATAGGACAAAGAACCGATAATTAGGCTTGATTCGCAGGTCGTTCGTGGCGGCAAGCGGGAGAAGGTGCTCATCTTTGACTTGGTCGTGGGGGACATCATTTTCCTCAACATCGGGGACCAGGTTCCAGGAGATGGTATCTTCGTCCAGGGTCACCAGCTGACCATTGATGAGTCCAGCATGACGGGGGAAAGCCAGCCAGTGAGTGCGAGCAACTTGATATCCTTGGTTGATAGCACTAGCAGCACTTTGCCTTTGCCCCACTTTTCGCTGCAAACAAATGGTTTCGCAGAGTTTGATTGAAAGTGTCTTCTTCTGCTCACCTTCTCTTACATGCGCACCTTACATAGCGCGCTTGTCCCCTGCCCCACAGATGCACAAGAACGAGCAGAAGCCGTTCATGATGGCGGGAACCAAGGTTTCTGATGGGATGGGCACCATGGTGGTGAGCTCCTGAGGCCTCCCATCCTTCCTTCCCCACAATCGCAAGAATACGAGGTAGCCGACTATGTGGTAATTGGTCTTCCTGAGTCACCAACCTGTGAGATCGGAAGCTTACGTCACCTTGTTTTGGCCGCCCTCAATGTCATCTTTTGTTGACGACCTGCCACAGCGTATGGCATCCAAGATATCCACAGAGATTTGGTTGGCGAACTTTTCTTGCAAGCTGGAATTCTGCGCCTCGGTAACATCACTTTATGCGAATTTCCTTCTAGAGGTTGAAGCCGTTTCTGCTTGTGGCTGATCCGGAGAATCTTTTCGCAGCTCACGGGAGTGGGTATGCACACCGAGTGGGGCAAGGTGATGGCGACCCTGAGCGAGGATGTCGATGAGGAGACGCCGCTGCAAGTGCGGTTGAACGGAGCTGCCACCGCCATCGGAAAGATGGGTCTGCTGGTCGCCGTGTTCACCTTCATCGTGTTGATGATCAGGTGCGCACATGGTGCTTCCTAAGTTGTGCCGGAATCCAAGTGGCTTGTTCAAGAAGGGCCACAACTTCGATTGAGGCCCCTATCGGCCAGATTGGTGGTCGACCTGAGAGGTGCTCGTTCTTTGCACCCAAAGATATGGATATGGCTGTGGGCTGAGACTTCTAAACCTCCGTTGCGTTTGGGTCAAGGAGCAAGAGTCCCGTTCGAAGGCCTGCCGCAGGCTTTGGACCGCCTGACTTGCTGAGGCATCCAGAACAGGCCAGAGGTTTCTGGCAGCGCCCTCATTCTGGGGAGTTGCTGCTTTGCAGGTTCTTTGCCACCGTCGACTATGGCCATTTTGGAGGCGAGGAGGGCAATCGGATTGTCGAATACTTCTCCATTGCTGTTACCATCGTGGTGGTGGCCGTGCCAGAAGGGCTGCCCTTGGCTGTTACTCTCACGTGAGTGAAATGTCGCACTTTGATTCTTTGCAAGTGCAGATTCCGGTCTTTGGAAGCGCATTCCTCCCACTTGAACGAGTCTTCCCATGCTGCAATGATCAGATTTTTTTGGTGCTTTTACCAATTGTTGCCGGCTTCCGTAGTCAGATGCACGGGTTATCATTGTTTTCGTGTCTCGTGATACGCCCATGCCTTCGATGATCTGGTCGTCAAAACGTCGCCCATGCCTCGTTCCATGCCCTCTTCTGTAGAGGGCTCATTTCCGGACTAAGATTATTATTGATTCTGAACACTCCGTTTGGGTCTGTCAGTTTGGCATACTCCATGCGCAAGATGATGAACGACAAGGCGCTTGTGCGGCATCTAGCCGCGTGCGAGACGATGGGCTCTGCCACGACTATTTGCAGTGACAAGACGGGCACGCTAACTCTCAACCAGGTCAGGGATCTTCCTAACGCCTTTCCCAGCTCACCTGTCCTGTCTGTTGTACGTCTGAAGGTTTGCACTTCTGGGCTCATTCCAAACGTGCCCTCACCTATCTTCTTGGCAGTGCCAGCGTGATCTCGTCGGATTCAGTGCGCCCCCGACCATCTGTGAGAGGAGATGAAGCAGGACTGCATCTTTCCGTTAATGGAATGATTGATATTTGTGCAGCTTGAAGGCGATCAAGCTTGCATCCTTGCTTGTAGCATCGACACCTATCTCCAGCTGCGCGTCTATTCTGACTAAGTCCTTCTGTTCTTGTTCTCAGATGTCGGTGGTAGCGTCCTGGATTTGCGGCTCCCTTAAGGAGCCCGACACCCTGGCGACTGCCCTCCAAGATGACGCTCTCGGCTTGCTCAAAGAGAGTGTCTTTAACAACACCAACGGGAGCGTGTTCGTGCCCAAGGACGGTGGCGCTCCCGAGGTTTCTGGGAGCCCCACCGAGGCTGCAGTGCTAACTTTCGGAGTGAAGGTAAGCCCGAGTGGATTGTTGCAGATGGTGACTCCAAAATTTCATCATGGTCGATTTTCGCTGAAAGTCGGGCACCGGTCTTTGTTGCTGTATTCATGCCAATGAGTGGCAATTGGAATGCTAATATCTATTTGTTGTTGCCTCTCCATTTTGGGCGGACCGATGCTAGCACCTGACGAAGTCGTTCTAAGCCGTTTCGTCTTGAGCTGTGTCCGGTCCGTTTGAATGCTCTGCTGATCTGGTCTACGAATTTCTGTCATCACGCGCTAAGGCTAGGGTCCGGTTTTTACAGCTCGGAGGCAACTTCGAAGAGACCAAGGCCCTGGCTTCCGTCATCGCTATTGAGCCCTTCAACTCGGCCAAGAAGAGAATGGGCGTCGCTGTCAAGGTAAGCCAGCTCTCTAAGAAGGGGCATATCCGGTAAACATACGTGTGCTGAAAACCTGACTGATGCATGTGTTATTCGCCCAACATACACTCGATATTACGGCTTCCTCATGCTCAGCTGGTGCATTTCTGATTTGGTATCGAATTTGTCTTACCACCTCAGAGGACAATCTGGATGCACCGGTCTGTCGGGGTCACTTCCAGTGGCAGTTTGGTCCACTTGCTCTCAACGGGTAATATCTCCTTCAGTCGGTCATATGGTCAGAAGCTCGAGTCCTTGCTTCCCCTTCCAGCAGATGGAATGGTCAATTTCAGGGCCCTGCTTTCCCCTTCCAAAGATAGGCTTGAGCACTTAGACGCTGCTCCTCCTTTGCAGAACAGGGCTTTGGGTTTTATTTCCGCTTCTCTCGCCACTTGAAACTAGAATTGAAAATTCAAGTCGTTGCTAACTTTTGCAGAGAAAGGACGGCTCCGTCCGCGTGCATTGGAAGGGCGCCTCTGAGATCGTCCTGGGGCTCTGCACGTCTTTCCTCGACTCCGACAACCAGGTGCACGCCCTGACCCCGGAGAAGGTGCAAGAGCTGCAGGGCGAGATCCAAAGGATGGCAGAGGGCAGCCTGCGCACGCTGTGCCTGGCATACAAAGAACTAGACCCGGCATCTATCCCTGCCGGGAGCCTCGAGGAGTGGCCCGTTCCGGAGGAGGGCCTGACATGCATGGCAATCGTGGGGATCAAGGTGAGGGACGGAGAGGCGTCTTTTGCTTGTTCGGTGGGCTGCTGGTGGGTCGAGTGCGGCGCCCGGTTCATTTCTCAGTGCATCCCCGCCCGTCAATTCCAGCTCGTTCCTGGTGTGGCATCTTTACGATCTGCAACCATAACATTTCCCAAACGGCTGTGGAGGAAAACTTTGAGTGGTGCTTGACACTCTCCGTGCTGCCGGTCTTGTCCCTTGTCAGAAGGGTGGTGCGACTCTTAATATTTGCATCACAACATCATCCGCTGGCTATCTGGTCATATATGCTACAGACCAACTTCAGCAGCAGGAACGTGGGGCTTTGAAAAGAGAATCTTCCCTCCTCCTCCCGGCGGGATCTCAAAAGGTTTCCGCTATTTTCCAGGACCCGTGCCGCCCGGGAGTTCCGGAGGCGGTGGCCCTGTGCCAGCGCGCTGGTGTGATGGTGCGCATGGTGACGGGCGACAACGTGGTGACGGCCAAGGCCATCGCCAAGGAGTGCGGGATCCTGACGGAGGGAGGTGTCGCCATTGAGGGCAAGGACTTCCGGGTCATGAGCATAGAGGAGCAGGAGAAACTCCTGCCCAGGCTGCAGGTGAGGAAGCGCCTCTAAGTCGTTGGGGAACTGTGACTTACATGACCAGGCGACTTGTTTTCGAGCGGACTTCAAATACGGCCGCTTTTGATATGAAACTCAGATCAATTGTGGTTGTATGTAGAACACACTCGTGATGGATCCGTTCCTTTCAGAGACGACCTGGCTTTGAGGCAGTTCCCCAAACATCTGGCAAGCACGCTTGAATAGGGAACCGTCGTCGTAGCTTCTTCCCTTAAATTTCCGGAAAGTCTCGCGGGCGGTGATCCAGCTTTGTCAATGCGTTGCACGCTCACCAGCAGCTTCATGCATGAATCTTGTCATCAAGCCTCGCCCAGCACTTCCCTGGATTTTCAACAATCCCGACCCTGACTCGTGAAAGCTACGTCTCTAGGTGATGGCCCGCTCCTCCCCCACCGACAAGCACATGCTGGTGAAGCGGCTGCGAGCGATGGGCAACGTCGTCGGTGTGACGGGCGACGGCACCAACGACGCGCCCGCACTGCATGAGGCCGACATCGGGCTGTCCATGGGGATTGCCGGGACGGAGGTCGCCAAGGAGAGCTCCGACATTATCATTCTGGATGACAATTTTGCGTCCATCGTCAAGGTGAGCTTCACGTCGGCCGCTTGCCGTATTATTGACTGATGGGGAGGTCTTGTTTGCTAGAGTTTTGCAAACGATGGAGAAAATTGCTCTCATTGAAGGAGTCTGATACGCTGCCTTATAAAGCAACGACGCTCCCCCCTCCCCCTGCCCCCTTCCCCCCATATCATACGGACTCGCCTCGTGTATCACAGGCGGGCGCCTTTTCCAGTGGTTTCAGATTTTTCGGTTTGGCAGAGTGGGTCGGCAAATCACTGTCCTTGTCTGTTCTTCGAGTTTCTTTAACACCTAATGTGCGTTTGCAGCCATCAGAAAGCGCCGTCGTTTTTGTTTGTTTCTTCTAGCTTCTTTCTACACCTAATTCTGCATCCAGCCGCTTGCGCCTTACTATCCCCCTTCACTTCGTTCCCTCTGAATTCCCCGGCGCTTAACTCTGCTGACCCGTGCCTCCTTCTCGATTCCAGGTCATCCGCTGGGGCCGCTCCGTGTACGTCAACATCCAGAAGTTCATCCAGTTCCAGCTGACCGTCAACGTGGTCGCGCTCTCCATCAACTTCGTCTCGGCGCTCGCCAGCGGCAACGTCCCGCTGACCGCCGTCCAGCTGCTGTGGGTCAACCTGATCATGGACACTTTGGGCGCGCTGGCACTCGCCACCGAACCCCCCACCGACGACCTCCTGCTGCGCCCCCCCGTCGGACGCACCGCCCCGCTCATCACCAACTTCATGTTCCGCAACATCGCGGGCCAGGCGGTCTACCAACTCATCGTCCTGTTCACGTTGCAGTTTGGAGGTGGGTGGACTTTCAAGATCCATTCTCGGGTCCTCCGCTTACTTGTTCGCTTTGGCAGGCTTTGCTTGCTGCCTCCAACTGCCGGTTCTTGGGTTTGCGAGCGGTGTTGGGAACATGTACAGTCGCTCGGTACTGCTTTGGGCTGTTCTGCAGGGAAGTTTTGTTGATTCGTTGGGTATCAAGTCCAGGGAGGTATTATAGTGCCCGGTGGTTTTAAGATATGCAGAGAGGTTTGGAAGCAAGCCTCGAAACAAGGGCGTCTTTGTAGGGACGCCTTAGCGGTCTCGGACGCACATGCTCAAAGCATTGACACCCGGCTGATACCTGAGCCTCTGCACTCGTGGAAAGCTTCATCTGAGGGTTGGTTTGTTTGTTGCAGGCAAAAGCATCTTCGGTTTCTCGGACGCGGGCTACCCGCCACCGAGGGTTGGAAAAGAGACGCACTCCACGCTCCTCAACGGCACCATGATCTTCAACGCCTTCGTCTTCTGCCAAGTGAGTCATGTGCCACTATTAGCGTGCCCTTCACTAGCACATCACTCCTGTCAGTCTCTGGGGTGGCCGATTGAGATGAGGAAGCTTATGGAAGCAGTCAGAAAAGGTCCGTTCAAAGGAAAACTATTTCCTGTTGCTTGATGTAGAAGTACCGTAGCAGTACCATCCTCTCCTCGTCTGTTCTCCTGTCTTGCATTTTCTCACGTAGAAAGTGTGTTTTTTGGTCGTGCACTCTGCAACTCCCGCGCGAAACCGACTATCAACTCGCGCTTCGTTGTTGCTCCCGTGCAGATTTTCAACGAAATCAGCTCTCGCAAGCCTGAACAGGTCAACTGCTTCGAGGGATTTTTCAAGAACAAGATGTTTGTGGGCATCATCTTCATCACGATCGGGCTGCAGGTAGGAAGCTCAGCTGCAGATTTTCCCGCTGCGGAGCTGTTTGCAACCGTCCTCTTCACTCGGGTCTGCAGCGCTCCCCCATTCCGCAAGTCTGAAAGGTCGTGTACTTCATTTTAGCCTTCGCCTCACTTAGCATTATCGAAGGTGTGTCTTCTCCAGATGTTGCAGCCTGGTGATTGATTCATATTGGGGATTTGATGTTGCTTGTTGAAATCAGCTGGTCGGTTGGTTTGCTTCACCAAAAGTCGCAGTCAGCGTCTCTTAAGAATGATTCTCATCTTCTAAGCTTGCAGCTGGTTTCGTGCATTTTAGTGCACCCTTCCTGAGTTTACCCACAGTATACTTCTCTCTCTCTGGTTCCTCCATTCTTGACGGATCACCTTCGGACTTCCTCCGCTTCTTCCGCAACAGTCCTCACTCCAGTTCCTTGTTTCCTGGCAGATCATTGTCGTCGAGTCCCTCATCTCACCCGCAACAGTCCTCACTCTAGTCTCTTCTTTATGGCAGATCATCATCGTCGAGTTCCTCGGGGATTTCGCCACCACCACCCCCCTCAATTGGTGGCAGTGGATCGTGTGCGTGATCATCGGGCTGGTTGGCATGCCCATTGCCGCGCTCGTGAAGCTGCTCCCTGTGCCCAACAAACCGTTCCCCGAGACGCGCTACTTCAGGTGGCTGACCAAGATCCTGATCAGCCGGAAGAAGCGGAAGGCGCACGCGGAACTCAAGGCGAAAGCTGCCGGCCATAATGGTAGCGCAGAGGCGGAAGGTGAGGCTGCCAGGACGCATCGGATGCAGGGTGTTCGGAAGTGCCTCAACGGTAGATTTTACTGTTTGTCCAGGCACATAGGCATATTTGCTAAGTTCTCTTGATGAGATCCTTCTGCTGCTGCTCTCTCTATTAGATGAGGTTGCTCACTCATACCTCAGCTGAGCCGCTTCATGCTTTGCTTCTAGGCCCAGATAAGTCACAAATGGCGTCCGATCGCGGGTTGAAATAAATTGCTGCTTTACTGACGGCATCTCTGTCCAATGGCCTGTCCAGGAGCTGCAATCGAATTGGCTCAGGCTGGTGAAACCCCAGCTGGTGTTGCCTCGGGGCATTTACCGGTGGCAAATGGTAACGGCGAGTATGCGAACGGTAAAAGCGAGATTAAGGCCGGGAAAGTGGTTTGAGAACGGTAAAAGCGAGATTAAGGCCGGGAAAGTGGTTTGATTAATGCTGGATCAGACGAGATGCTTTGCCTTTGTTGCATTTGTGGTCATTAGTAAGAGAAGTGGTGATTACCTGATTGCTCAAGTAGATTTTATAGGTTAGAGTCGTGCTAAGCATAGACTGCAGTTGTTTCGACCGAAGCCAATACGCATCGGTATCGTTTACATAACGACCAGAACGTTTGCACGGCTCAACGGTATGCTAAAACTTAATTACACGTTCGTCTGAGACTATTCTACCAAGGCAGAACAGAGTTTGTTTTCCTCCGGAATTGTGTTATAAGTGCTATCCGTCATGCGAATGCAATCTGCGTACACCATGCATGGCATACCATTGATGTGGTGTGAATGGCTTTGTCATGAACCTAGTTCAATCGCCTTTGAAGATACTAGGCGCACGATCTGCAGCCGGCCCCTCATAGAAGCCCACATGCATAGCATGCCTAGTTATAGCAGTGAGCAAAGGAATTATGTACTGGCGGTTTAGAGCTATAACTGCATTATCGAGCCATGCACATGTGACTTGCAATTACCGGCGCAAGCTCGACTACTCGATCTTACCTTGGACCGGTAAGCGAGTCGTCGTCGCTTGCACACTGGGCTAGAGGCGGGTACGTGGGGGCCATGCACGCAACATGTGCGTCGGACCCGTCGATATACACAAATGCAGCTCTATCATCGTCATATCATGACCGTCATACAATTCTCCGGATCAAATTGCGCAAAGCTGAATGATAGTGCATGCATGAATTCATGGTTGAACGAGCGCCGTTGCGCAAGCCCAAAATAAATCTCAAAGTGGACTGTGACCCTTTTACATTCGAGCAATGCATCAGGTGTACCTTCCAGAGCGGTGGCAGACGTGCTATCGACCCCGGACCACGATGGGCTGGTCGCAGATCGAATCTATAAATAAGGCCTCACGTATCAGAAAGTAAGGACAGACTATAAGCTACCTACGGGGAACCTACTTGTTGCTTCTGAATTCAACGTTATCTATCAACCGAACGCTCCCGAATCTTGCTGCCACCACCAGAACGGAGCTGCTCGACACACTTTCTTCTGCCAGCAAAGAGGAGCCGTTGACGAGCTGGACACAAAGATGAAAAATTGAGCCTCCTTCAATTGGGACAGCTTTCTAATAACATATCTATATAACGATAGATATCCCAAAAAAAAAAAAAAAAACATAACCATGCGCATGCAGAAAACAAGTTGTCGGACGACTTCTCCTGACGCAGCTCAAGGCAATGCTGTTGAGAAGCAAACACATGCCCTTTGAACGCGCGTAAGAGGCACCACTTCGTCATTGACAAAGAGACAGGGCCTCTGAAAATCTACTGAAAGCTCGGGACGAACTTGGGTATACGGACAAAACAATCAACATCCCTTACCTCGACGTAGTCGACCTTCCCCCCGGCGCTCTCGATCGCGATCCTGACGTCAGTAGTCAGCGAAGCGGCTGATGTCTCGCCCGCGCTCACCCGTTCGGCGGCGGCAAAGAGCCCTCGGCTTATTGAGAGAGCCTGCAGCAGGGAGGCCGAATGACTCTCGAAGTTGCTGAATGAAATTTTTAGGAGTCAAAGTTTCTAGTATCAAAAAAGCATTCACCAGGGTCAAGCTCAGCCAATTTCGGCGGGTCGATACCTCAAGGTCCAGGAAACAAACGGACCAGATTTACAGACAGGACGCCGGAAAGTCCAATCCTGGACGAACCGCTTCCACTTGCTATTTGTATGCCTTGAGCGCGGGCTAATCTGAAGGCGTTTAATACCACAGGGGTTCTGCCTTCTGAGGAGAAGTTTTGGTGAAGTGGCCATCGACGCACCTTCTGTCTCTCCTCGGGTGACAACCGCACGTTTCTACTGCTCATCGCCAGCCCGTCGGGCTCTCGTAGTAACGGCAGGCCAACCACCTCGACCCCGAAATCAAGGTCTCGAGCCTGCAGATCGCAAGGTTCGAGGAGAAGAAACTTCCAGGATTTCGCTTCATAATTTGATGCAGACGCCCTAAGAGAGCAGCGACTTCTTATGTCAATCCTTTGCCCCTGAAGTCTCTTTCATTGGTTGCAAAAGCGCGGACTCAACGCTTATGCCTTCGTGTCCAAGCCGTGTAGCACCATGTGGAGCGGTGTTGAGCACTACAGAAAGCACTGTTTCATACCTTTCTCACCTCTCGCGGATGCAAACCGGATGTCCTCGAAAAAGCGGCGATGGCAGTTTGACGCCTTTGTCAAGTCTCAAGCCCCCATCCTTTGAGGCTGTTCGCTAAACTATTTTTCATGTCCCATTGTTCGAAGCTGTCTGCCACTATTCAGCAATTTGGCAAACAATCTTTTCAGAGTTAGGTTTGCAAGAAGCAGCGTCCTGTCAGCAAACACAGAGCGCTAAAAGCCGTCTAAGTAGGCATCTCACCATCCTCTCCAAGATCCGCCACTGCTGATAGTCTTTCCGGCCGAAAAAGGCATAGTCGGGCTCAACGATGTTGAACAGCTTTGCGACGATGGTCGCGACTCCGCGGAAGAAGATTGGTCGATCGCGCCCTTCCAGTGGCCGTTGCAACCGTTCCACCTAAGACCCAAAAAGTAAGACTTTCGTTTCTAAAGCATCTTGGAAAAGAGAGCTTCTTTGCGGACTGAGAGCCAGGTGGTCCAATAGAATACTCTTGACCGCGAACTAAGCAACTTTGGCTAGTGCTGGTCTGTCTTCATAGAAATGAGTTAAACCGTTTTTGGTACCGTCTGTTTCACCAAGGCTGGGTTGCCCCGACAAGCTCCGCAGTCCGACAATGTGTGAACACGTCTCTGGAGGGAGTCTGCTGCCTCACTATTGTCTGGCAACGAAAGTAATGTCTCAGGCTAAGCCGTCAACAAACGACTTTCGTCTCACAAACTTCGAAACTACTTTGATCAAGCACTCTGAACGACCTGCTCATTGTCAAGTATCGACTGAGCAGTCTAATGGCCTAACCATACACAGATTGATTCCTCGAAGACCGAGACTGATTCAACCGCACCTGCGAAAAAGTCCCCGGGGAAGACTAAAACAGCAATATGAAGAGCGATCTCGAAAGCAAGGCCAGAGAAATTAAGACTTGAAGGAAAGGCCGCACCTGAATCCACGTTTCATGCCCGTCCCCTCCTCCCCCCACCATGTCTCGCGCCCCGCCGGCGCCACTGCTTGTTGCTCCACCATTCCTATGTGCAGGGTTCTCATCAGTATCACCCTGCCTGGAAGCAGATACGGCCCCAGTTTCTCTGCTGGGAGATGAGGCGCGCACGTACAAGTCCTCTGGATTGAACACTGCTGCGACGCCCAGGGGCTGGAAGAAGGAAACGCATCAGTATCAAACTACTGACGAATGACTTGAAACTTCTTGCTTGTGCACTGACTTCTGGAAGCCTCGTATCCAAGGCCAAAGCAGCAGCGTGCAACTCCATAGAAGTATGAATCATTGAATCCTCATGCCCTTTGACAGTTCAACTACAATCGCTTCGCGGTCACGCGCCTGCGGACAACTTTTGTAGAGGACAAACGTTTGACAGAACGGCATCACCCAATAGCTCTTACCAAAGAGAATGCTGACCCTTTGAGAGGTCTTCCATTCATCTGGGCCTAATAGACGCACTATGGCATTTGAAATTGAAATGACTCCCATTGATATCCAATTTTGTGGACAAGGGTGGATGCCGTCAACGGGGCGAGCAGCCAAACGCAACATTTGATCCAGAGGAACAGACCAGTTGGCTGACCAACAGTCACGTCTCCTTACCCTCAACTTTGCGAGGTCCCCTTCCAAGTCCCTGGGATAGCTGGACAAATCCTCCCCCTGTGCGAATTGCCCTGGGTTCACGTAGATAGATACCACCACTCTATCAGCTCTCTCCATTGCCGCACGGACCAAAGACAGGTGGCCTTCATGTAGAAAACCCATGGTCGGGACCAGCGCAATTGTGGAACCATTCCTCCTCTGCTCGCGCGACCAGCACCTCATTGCAGACTTGTCGTGGAAAACCTCCATGGTTGCAATGAAAATCCAGCCTCAGCCTAAGCTTGCAGCTTTCAGAAAGGCCGCTGCGCGGATTGGCTAAAGCAACAATCTAATAACGAGCTGCGAGCAGTAACTTCTGGAGACTGGATTCTTTTTCACCTCCTTTTGAAGCTTTGCCCCCGCTTTGCCCACCAGCGCCCTTGTTGCAAACCCTAATTTTCAATCCTGAGAACTTTTAAACCAGCTGATCTGATACAGTGCAAGCATTTGATACATGTGACTCTGAGCCGTTCGATGATGTACTTTGTATAGATTGGACGGCTACAGCGACAATCGTCGACAACTAAATGCAACTTGAGAAGGAAGAAGAACGAACCAGACCCGAGTCACTCGGCCACTTGCATCCATGGCGTCCATCACGAACTTGAAGGCGCCATGGCCAACCGGGCAGGGAGGCAATTGCAACACACTTTGTTGCTGTTTAACTTGGAAGATTCAATAGCCGCGTTCCTGTCGTTCTCCTGCCTGATTAAGGTGTAGGAAGCTGCAACAGCAGATCTGAATGAAGAGGAAGGAGCCTGCTTTGCTCATGCTTGGAGGTTTATGGATCTTCAGCTTAGAGCACTTCGGCCAGATGCAGATAGGAGCCAGATTTCTGAATTTAGAAGGACGGACTGAGGACAAGGCGTCTGCCCCAAATTTGGTAAAAAGCAAGATGCATGCAATGTGGGCTTTCCAGATTGCAAAGGCCGTGCGCAGAGTCCCTGACATTGCAGTCCATGCTCCACAGGAGCTGACAGCATTGTGCCCACAGCTTTGTGGTAGTACCGTCAGGCAATCTGCGTGTTTGCGGTTGAGTGGTCAGGCCCCTCCTAGACTTTCAGCTTTTGCTTTGCCCCAGACAAGTGCTATAAAACATGGGGTTGAATCAGAGCAGCCTGCGAGGCCTCCGTGTGGTACCCCCCTAATGACTGTAAAACAGCCGGCTTCAGGAGGTGGTTTTGGTGCCAGCAAGCCTGTGTTTGGGGGTTTCACGAAGGACCAGCATCAGCTATCATCCAACGCCAAGCTCTTGGTCACATTTGGATATCTGCAAAGTTACCCTGCTCCCACCAATACAACCAAACCCCTCTCACAAATAGGAAACTTCTTTGCACCAAATGCACTTGAGACTAGAATAAAACCAGAGGGCAGCCAATCAGCGGTACATAACCCCCTTCTATATGTGGCTCCCGGCTTCCAGCAAATAAGACCTTACTCTGAACAGCCCCCCCCCTTTCTTGAGCACCACGCGGCCCGTCCCATTAGTCCTGTCACATCTGTGGGTGTAAACCCCCAACTGGATCCTACTCTAGCACAAGCAGTCTGCGGCGCCACCGAACAAGCAAAGAGTGGGGGCGAGAAGAAACAAACGTCTTTCCTAGGATGGCTGCGCGCTTCACTGACGCGCAATCAACTGCTTGGCTTGGGCCACCTTGCGAGTCTGTTTGGAGTTATCGCACTGTTTATGAAGGTAGGTAATCTTCCGTGACTGCTTCATTGATTACATTTGTTGGGGCAGTTAAGAAGGAATTGTTTGCGTGCAACGATGGTGCCTCCAGCCCCTCTCATATGCACCCTCTTTCCCTCAAATCGAAAGTCATGAAGGAACTTACTTAGTACGGTTGGTCAATAATGACTGAAGATGATTGAAATGCTGAGGGAGTCAAGGTCTGCATTCAAATTGAGGCATTGATGGGGAGTTGTGACGGTAAGCATTTAGGAGGAACACGTGGCATGGGCTTTCAAATCTAGGAACCTAGCAGATGACAATGTAACTGCGCTTTGCAGGACATGCTGTTCCTCAGGAGTTTCATGGTCTGCGGGGGCATCTGCGGGATCACTTTCAACATGGTAAGCCTGACATTCGAGCGCGCTCGCTTCCACCGCCCTAGCTTCAGTACAGATCATACTACTGCGTCCGTCAGTATACTCCCACTGCCAAATGTGCTCTTAAACTTTATCAATCCTGTTTGGCTCAGCTATCTCAATTTGTTTAATCGGATTGCCCCTTAAAGGATACTGAGAGGCAGCACAGATCTTATGCATGCGTGCATGTCAGCTAGTCTAATGCCATTAAGCTCCATTGAGTAAGTCTGCTTGTTTGCAGCTGCAACCCACGCCCATGTACATACCCAGCATGTGGGGCTGCGTTTTCCTGCTCATCAACCTCACACAGATCGGCATCCTTCTCCTTGAACGGCGCGAGGTCAGCCTTTCTCCTGGACTCTATTCCTTATCCAAGTCTTGAGGTTTTGCACATTACTCCAGAGAAGCCTGTTGACAAAATTGGTCATGGGACTTATTTCCTTTCACGAAGTTCTCACGATTGAAGGGTCTGCAAATAATTGAAGCTTTGAAAAGGCCCTGTTAGGACACACGGCTTCTTGCTGCTTCACTGCCTGTTTGAAAGTCAGTCAAGTATTTTGAATATTGTATGTGGTGCTTGTCGAAGTTTCGCCCCATACTTCGTAAACAAGTTCGAAAGGCGTCACAGACAAGAACCTAACCTGATGAACAAGTGGACACTGCTGCAGTCGCTTAAGGGGACACGCCAACCGTGAAAGCTTTTGAAGATGCATTCTGAGGCCAAACCAGACGTGGCAAACGGACGACTAATCAACTTGGGTCCTTCAGAAGCTTGCAACTTGTGAAGAAACGTAAAAATGTCAACAGACGTGAAGTCCATTCCCTGCCTGACCTAAGCCATTACATCTGGACACCAATTTACTCTCGCTGGTGCGCAAGAAGCTTAGGCTCTAGGGTTGTAAACATAAGCATAAACAATACCTTGGAACTCAGAAGGGAAAAACGCAACCGAGGCTCCATCCGGTGCAGGTCGAGTTCTCTTCGGACGAGCTGGACGTTTTTGAGCTGGAGTTCCAGCGGCACGGCGTCACGGCCTGCCAGTTCAAAAAGCTGATGCGCTATGCAGAGGCGGAGTGGCGAGAACTGCCAACAGACCACGTGGTAGGCGGATCGAGAACGATGGGTTGCACTTCTTTGTAAAGTTTTGCCGATGACCTGCCACCATCGTTTGGCTTGTCTTTTTTTCTGTCGATTAAATCAACAGTGCCAAGTCGAAGACGGGCAATGTCGCTCCTTGATATGAAAGCAAGGAATCCATATTGGCCTGATTGTGATGATAGGTATCCTTGGTTTCGCAAAGCTGTTTTGACTGGATTAGTCAATTGTGCATAGGGAGTACTTTTTCGGGCTCGGATCCAATTGAACCAAGGTGAATATTGCCACACAATCCAACTATTTCTCGAGACTTCTCGTTTGCACCCCTTCTTGATGAACCATGTGCGGAGGGAGGAGAACTCTTCTAAGTTTCGGCCGACCAAGAGAATCGTTTTCTCACTTTCAGAACGCATCACACCTCGTCCATTCACAGTCTTTCAGAGCTTTTGGATAATCGTACAGCTCACGCCGTCTGAAGGAAGTGGTTGCATTCACGTCAAGGTGCCGAACTTCACACAGAGTCTAGTCCGGTCGATCTGACTCATGCGAACGGGCCACCTCGAACTCTGGGTGCTGTGCAGATTCTGAAGCAGGGTGACCAAGTAGACGACATCTATCTCATCATTAGGTGAGCACGATCCTGCGGTCCCGTGTTTATGCAGACGTTGGCTGGTGCGTTCAGTGGTTCGCCTCAGCGAGATTGATACACATCGGGGGTTTCGTTGTCACGATCAGATTGTAGGGCCTTTGTAGCGAAAGATATTCGTGCTTCAGTCTGCATCATTCATTCTCCATTTCTACGTCCACTTCCATGGTGAACTCCGGCTTTATTTTTTTCGTGCCAAGGCTTTCAATTAGCTTCTGAACAACACCCTTTTGATTTGTTCTCTCCGAAGGCCGTATACGAAGGCCGTATACCGTGCTCTCTCCGAAGGCCGTATACGAAGGCCGTATACCGTGCTCGCCTTCTCGGACTAGTCAAGCCTCGCACCTGTGGCTGACCGTAAACACCCAGCCTGAAAACAAAGAACTCTGACCCTGATTAACGATTTCATTTTACCCTTTCCGTGCGTATCCAGCCTAAACGTATCCCCCCTCTAGAAATGTTTCCGGCCCGCCTTTTTCAAAAGCGTAGTTTCCTGCCTTTTTGGATAAAGCGTGCCTGCTCTGTCCATTTGAAAGGCGTACATGCCTGCCTTTTCGGATCACCGTGAAAGCCAGCCCTGCACCAGGGAAACCCGACTCACAATTCTTCCGTTTCCACCTCGTGCAGCGGGTGCTCGGAGGTAAAGGCGATTTACCTTTGTAACCCCGTTTCCGCTCTGTAAAATAGTTTCCGCTGTGACACCGTTCCGCTTTCTGATTCCGTTTCCGCTTTGCAGCGGGTGCGCGGGGGTGAAGGTCATCAAACTTCGGTAATCCGTTTCCGCTCTGTGTGTTGCTTTCCCTTTGTAGAGTCGTTGCCTCTCGCTGATCCCGGTTCCGCTCTGCAGCGGGTGCGCGGAGGTAACAGTGAACGGCGGCGCGGTGGGGCAGGTCCAGCGGGGCAGCCTCGTGGGCGAGACGGCGCTCCTCGCGAAAGGGCACCTGGCGGGTGCCACCGTCACGACTCTGGTGCCGACCAAAGTCGTGGTCTGGGATAAGCACAAGTAAGAAATATATCTTGTTCCCGTCTGAGGTCTGTTTTTTTTGTTCGGTGTGGCTTGTTGTTTGTTCTGCTGTCGTATTTCGGCTGCATACGCCCGCGGCACGTCAGGAATAGCCCGTAAAACGGAGTTCCTTTATCCCGAGTCTGCATAGAAAAAAGCTTTGGCTGGGCCCAGGCTCATTTGGCAGGCCTGCTTATGCCGCTTCTGATGTTTTCGCACATTCGTGATTGGCTGTGCATATTTGGTGAAACCGCGAAGTGCGTGACACGAACTTCGTAGTTGTCACCTGGATCGAACGTCCGTCCTCCAACATACAGCTTTCCGAACGGGAGCTTTACCAGTAAAACCTTCAGTCTGCGGTTCACGGAAATCGCTATGAAATCCCTCTTCCCGTGTTTGTTCTCGATTGTCTCCTTCCTGAACCTTAGCGAGAATGGTGTCCAGTCTCGGATGACTGTCGGTTGATCGAGACTCGTCTTTCTTCTTGGATAAATGCTATTTGGTTAAGAACGAGCTTCGTGTCCCTCCTCAAAAGACTGTTACCTTGCTAAATGGGTGAAGTTTGTCTGCGTCGTGCCCGCTTTCGTGTAATCTTTATTTCAATCATTATCTGCCTAAGAGCGGAAAGTGTATCTGCAGGTTGCGCCAGGTGCTTGCCAACGACCCGAGCCTGATCCTGTCCGTTTCCGCAACCATCAACTCGGACCTCGCCACCAAGCTCGCCAAGCGCAACCTCAGCAAGGACCGCAGCCTGGAGACGTACAAGGTCAGGCCGCGGCAACTGGTTTGCTTGCCTACTCATCGCTGCATCAATCACGCCTTCCTCCGTGGTATAGAAGAAATATGCGAACTGTCTCCGAGTATGTAATACGAGACGGTTTGCTGCGTCTTCGGTACCATGCACTCTAGAGGTCCATGGACACGTTTCCAGGAGATAAGGTGTGCCTGATCAGTCTTGTTTGGTTCGCAGTCTACTATTTCAAATGTCAAAGCCTTTGTACCGATCCTTACGAGGATGCATGGGAAGTGGAAGTATTCAGATTCGAGCGTACGCACACAAGATTAGCATTCTTTTCGAGTCTCGTTGGGCCGCTGATTGTCGTATAAAAGTTTGGTGTTTAGGTCTGCGCAAATCTCCCACCGCCTTGCTGATAGACAGACCTATACGGTAGGATAGTTTTAGATAGGTGTGGTCACGGCCCGGCGAGCGGGTGGGGTTGCTTTTGGGGTTAGGGTGGGTAAGGGTGCGGAGCGGGTACTTTTGTCGGTTTAGATTTTTAGTTCTGCTTTTCGCCGGGGACTCTTACTACCCTACCTAGAAACTATCCTACCTAATTCATAGGAGTATTGCTGATCGCGGGCACGGTGCTTGCAGGACGTGCTGGGCGGCATCTGCTCGGCGGGACGCGTCAGCCCCGAGGAGAAGAAGGCTCTGCGGGAGTTCCGGCAGCGGCATGGAATTCGACCTTCGGAGGTGAGCTTCACCGGCTCTAGATAAACGTACTAGGCAGAAGACTTCCGTGATCAGGAAACCTCTGAGAGAAAAATTTCTTATTTCGAATGAGCAGAGGAACCAAAGCACGGGCAGTACATATTGCAAAAGATTCCTGTTCTTACTCGAGGCCCTGCAAGCACACCTACAGATGTTTGGATGGTAATAGCCAGAGCCGATGGCAGGGCTGCGCCTCAGCATGCTGACAACAAGCCCAGCACTCGGACTCTTTTGGGGTTTGGATCGCCGGAAAAGAGTCTTTCCGCGGGTGCTGTATTGGCTTTAATAAGAGGCGGTTCCGCCGGGTTGGGTCTGGTCAGATCCGAATCTCGTATTGAACATGCATGGGTATCGTGGACAGCTGTGTGGAAACCTGATGGTCTCTGCATTTGGTCCTTGCAGCACGAGGCGGCGGTCCGCGAGATTGGTTGGACACTCGACGAGTACGACGACGGGGCGAAGCACCATTCAGGTATGCCAGCACTCTGCCATGTTTTCCCTCTCCTTTCGGGTGGTCATGGTTATCGCCGTATCGCTTTCGCTACCCTTTAAGTAATCTGTGCGATAACCAGAAGCACAGGGTTTTTTTCCAAGGGCTCAGTGCGTCGGGTTACTGGTCACGCTCCGTCTCGCTCCTTCTCGGCCGATCGTAAATACACCGGCGAACTGGACGGCTTGCTGGGTCGTTGCTCTTCTGGTACCATATTCTTGGATGCTTGTGGCATGCACTGACCCAGTTCACTTTCAGTAAACCTCAAGACGCGCACTCTTGCGCACAATTGCCAAAAGTTGTCCGGACTCTTCTTGTACTGGTGATTGCGTCAACCTGATACCGGTGGACGCTGTCCGTCACAAACTATCTTGCACAAACTCCCTGCTTATAAGCCGTATACTTGTCTGTAATTTCGCCCAACCCTTTCAAGGGTTGCGATACAAGAAGAGGCGACCATGTGGTATGAAGTCGGTGTGGTAGCTCGGCACGAAACCGAGGCCAAACCCGTCCTGTACAATGCCTTATTGACTGTAGCATTTAGATAGGATGTTGCGGGATAGTGTGCGACGGGCAGTGTCCACCGGTATCAGGTCTTACGCAATCCCCAGTACGTGCGTCCAAAGTCTAGAACCAACTTGCCTTTCCATTCGCAGGGAGGCTAGCGGGTCTTCTCAGCCGTGTGCCCCGGTGGACCGGCCGTCGAAAAGCTCTCCAGACAATGGAGCAGAGTCCGCATCCCGCTGACGTGCCTGTACTCAAACAAGAGACTCAACCGCAATTGGAGCCGCAAACTCCTCATTTCAATCGTGAGAAACTTCCGCCAGGCAAGGGCCTCAAGGGAGAGGCGGCCAGCCTGCAGAATTTGAGTCCCTTGGCGGTGTGTTTGGACGATAAAGTCAAAGCGAAAATGACGGATAGAAAGAAGGACGTAGAAGCCGTGTTGGGGGCCCGGGAAACGCAGCTCTTGTATGCGACGCTGGAAGTTCCCGAGGACGAACGAGGAGCGATTGATTTGAACTTTAGTTGACGTCGAAGCAGCTATGGGGGTTGCACAGCGCACGCTTAGGGTACTGATTAAAATAGAGCTAATGGCAGGTTTTGTCCATTTGTTTCCGAATTGTACATATATAGCGTACTCGTAAGTATTAAGTCCTGTATTCAGAACTCTGTAAGCCAGGTGATCGGGGTTGTACAAACCCAATCTAAAAAGGGATTGTTGACTTCGCAGTTCAATGACCAGGTGATGTTGTAGAATACATTGTAAGTATTGGAAACTCAATGGAGAACTTCAGCAGTGTACAATTCGGTTGCCACCTTGCCATGAATCGATTCGGCCATGCAGTGTGGCTGGATTTGGTAGGTTGAATGTAAGGCCGGCCAGAGATCGGAGGCATTTCATCTGGAGCACGATCGACGTGATGATTGGACGATGGACGTCAGTGCAATCTACTAGCTCGGTCCTTCCATTAAACTTCAAACATAAAAGCAAGGGTTAGTGGACCTACTACTGGACAGTTGCCCCACTAGCATGACCAGCTAGCCCGGCCAACAATGTCTACATAACAACATAATTTTAGATGGCCGCGTGCATTCAGGTGCGCTGCAGCCTGAGGATGTTCTATACACGCCATGCAACGAAGGTCAATGCATATGGCTCTTCGTCGTATCTACACTCGGTCTGTCGAAGCAATAGAACTCCAAATGTTGCTAAGTTATTGACGTACTCTATCATCTTCTGACAAGCAACACAGTCCATGCCAATTCGTACAAATCACTTTGCCAGAGAGAATCTGGAATACCGCCAGCTCTTATCATCGCAACATCTCTAGGAGCTCAGCTGCTTCAACGTGCACATCTTCGAAGTCCTCATAATCTACGATGCCTTCCAGTTTCTGCAAGACTCCTGGCAATTCAGCTAGAGCTTTCCGTGTCTGCATGTCACCTCGCACCATCTCTAAGAGTATCCAAACAGCACTTCTTACTGATGGAACCATCCAGCTGTCCAACACGTTAACGATAACGTGCAAGGAACCCGGAATGGAGGCGATGGCCTCCATCACCCCTATCTCCGAGCCAACGTTTGCCAACAATGACACCGCATCCTCTTGTAGGTATTCACTCCAAGTTGCATCATCACCAATGCTTGGATCCAAGCATTCTACAAGCTTGTGCCAGAACCCAGGCACCAACGGGATCCTCTGCGCCGATTCGTCAAGCTCTGCTAGGGTAGTTAGTGCCCATGCCGCTTTTTCCCGTGTGTGAGTGCTTGAGCTCCCTAGCAGGTTCACTAACCCCTCTAGGCACCCCGGCGCCCTAGCGACAGCCTCCGCTGTGTCATACTTGGCCAAGCGCTGCAAACAGTCTGCCGCGCCCGTGGCTAGCTCGGCACTCCCACTCTGTAACAAACTCACCAACTTGGCAAGGCCCCCAGACAGGGCGACGATGAATGCGCTATTGTCATAGTCATTTGCAAAGTGAACTAAAGCTTGTAGGGCGATACTTTGCATCGCCCTGTCCTCGTCGTCTAGAAGGTCCACGAGTCCCTGTAATATAGCGGGAACCAGCTGAATGGCAACCACACAAGCTTCAGGATGTTGTGCCAGGCTTCCCAGCGCAGATGCCGCTGTTCCCCGTGTGTCTTCGCAGTTACTCTTGAAGAGGCTAAGTAGTTGCTGCAGGCTGCCCGGACAAGTGACGATTGCCATGCGGTTGTGCCAGTGCTCGGCCAAATTGTCAAGGATCATGAGAGCTTCTTTCTGCTCATACTCCCTCTGAACACCAAGGAGGTTGACTAGCTTTTGCAAGCACCCTGGAGCATTAGCAATTGCCTCATTAACGGGTTTCTCAGGCTTTCCGTCGTGTGACAAGTCTGCCAGCATCTCCAGTGCCTTTTCACGAACTCCACTGCTTTCGCTGTCCAGAAGACCCGCCACTACCCTCAGGCTCCTGGGCACCACCAGGCCATCTAAACCGTATATCATTCTACCCCACAAGACTGCTGACTTTAGAGAGCTGGAGGAGCTCTGAACGTAATCATGACCTTCAAGTTGGTGGAGCTCTACATTCTCCAAGGAGGGGAATGACTGGAAGAATGATTGGATTCCGGTGCTGGGGGCAGCAAACCCAAACAGGGACAGATCCCGAAGCTTTAGAAAAGGCTTTGGTAGCTTTGACGAATCCAGGACAACAGCTGGTCTATGCCACCCGCTCTCCCACAGGAAGATGTGCAACGCCACCAGGTGCTTGCATTCTTGAAGCATGACGAGAATGCGCCCCCAGTCAATGCTCTGCGCATCCTCCTCGCTGAAGTCCAGAACCAAGTAGAATTCCTGGAGAGTGTTTACCAAATGGGGCAGGACAGCCTGAAGAACCCCCATCAGAGCCAAAGGACGCTCAGCTTTCAAAACCACCTTCCTTAGCAATCCCTTGCACCTACTTCCAAGTGCGTAACGGACAAAGTTTTGCTCGGTCTGAGGCCCATTGTCTAAGTCCCACTCAAGGCACCCAGTGACGCGCACCACCTCCTGGAACCTTTTGCAGACGGCCTCCAGCCGGACCCTGTCCCGGGCCTGATGTTGCAGGAGACACGGCTTCCATAATGCTCTCTCAAAGATACTTCCAAGCAACGCATCGCAGAGACGGTCAAAGCAGTTCTCCTGATCCGGCGCCTTTGCTCGGGAATCTGGTTGCTCCCCGGAGCTGCTGAACCTGCTCTGCCGCCACTCTACCGTGCTGTGACAAAAGTACCCTAGGAACCCTCTACCGTGCTGTGACAAAAGTACCATGTAGGAACCTTATGGAACTGTGCAGTGGGACTGCAGTTTTGCAGTTTTGAAGATGGACGAATTTCTGAAATTTGGCGGCAAAGCTGAGCTGTACCTGTGGGGATCCCCCGAGCCCGCCTGCGCGCGCATTGTGCTGCCAGTGCCAGCCGACGTCTAGGTACATGCAAGGCGCTTCATCTTGGCGGGCCCTAATTGGAGCTTCGGGAGAGGTGCCGGCAGAACCTGCGTGAGGGGCCTTATTCAAACGACGTGTTGCATTGTGCAGAAGGAAAAGAGCAGTGCTGCGGCTTGCCCAAAAAGACGGCGGCTTGCATTGAAGTACGCTCAGGACCAGGTCACAAGGAGGTCAACAGGTACAGGTCTGACAATATGCAAGGGGAGGGCGAGCGGGAGGGGCTTCATTTCTGGAAGCTGTTTCGGGCAATGACGTCTGAATGGGTGCCTAACGTCAATATGAAAGTAGCTTGGGGTCTCTTCGTATTGCCATTTGAAGAGGCGTACCGGGATGCTCCGCAATCCAATGGGGTCAAGGGGACGATCTCAGATACATGAAAGAAGACCATGAGGAAGAACGTTTTTCTTAAACTGCCACATGCAGTCCAATGAGAGGTGCGCCATGTAGATTCTATTGTCTGGTGAGAGACTGGTGCATTCTGAGTTTGTATTCGAAGTCAGCCAATGAGAATTCATGTTGCAGATGCTCGCTGCGGTGGTATGGCCGTCGACTCATTGACGTGGCCGCATGTCGAGGCAAGAGTCAGATTGCATGTCAGCAACGATGTTTTCTGCAAGCATAGAGTCTCGTTGATGTCTAAAGTGGTTGCGCATCTTACTTCCGCTGGAACCTTGAAATGGTTGCATCAATCTTCTGGCACCAACCAATGCCTAGTGGTCATTGGCGCCCCTGCTTTCACCCCAGTAGAAAAATAAGGAAGTCACTGAGCTGACCAAGGGGCCTATGGTCAAATATCATATGCATTTGTTTCCCACAATGCACGAAACTCTGGACTTTGCCTCTGGACCTCTGGAGGGTCTTGGTGTTCATAATTCCAAGTCTTTGAATGTCACACAAATGCTGCCAGAGTCTTGGTCTGGTGTCCTGCACTGCCTAGTCCTCCTGATTCAGAACATGAGTGATGGGCATGCTACATCTTGACATCAACCTTGTATTTGCAGCGCCGCGCACGGATGCGCACTGCCTGGAGCTTTCAGAGGACCACCTGAGTCCTTGGGCTAGGGCGCTCGACTTCGGGCCGGCACAGGTTACTATGGGGCTACTGATTTTGGACGAGGGGGAAAAGATGGTCGGTGTGGAGCAGAACAAAGGTGGGGATGCATGCAACCATTGCCCTGTAGATTGCTGGCAGGGCAGCCGTTGATAGGAGTTGCATTCTGAAGATCTGAACGAGCAGCGTCCCTGGAAGAAAGTCAGAAACTCTCTTACAGACTTTTTCTCGGTCAGGTTCTTCCAAACCACGGCCAGTCCTTACGCTCTCACTAGAAGCCGTGCATTTTCTAAGCTGGAATTCTTGCGGGTCGCCTGCCAGAAAGATTGCGCTATCTCAGGGGCAGGGTTAGAAGGCTTGAGCGAGCTTCACAATATTGCACTCAAACAGAGAATCGAGACTCAAAGAGAAACATTGGATAGTAACATTTGGCCTCTCGTGCATTCTGCCTCTTTCACTGGTATACCTTCAAGTACGGACTGGCTTTGGTGCACCCTTCCTCCTGCTGTTTCGTTGGTGTTGTTATCTGGATATCCTCCACATCGCCTGCTGCATTTAATCTGCCTATCGCATGTCAGGAGTGAGAAGGACTTTGTATCCTGCGGTAGCCAAAGTCCGCTGGATTTTGAACTGTTGGATTCGAGCTCATCAACAGGCTTGCCCCATTTGGAGCAAGTGAAGCAGAGGTTGCTGCAACAAGTTGGTAAACCCGCAAATGTGGATCGGAAGGGCTCTGAAGTTACCTGAATCGCTGTACGTCCTTCCTCGTACCTCCTTCCTTTCAGGCTTCCTGCCTTCTTCCAACAGACGACTTTCTGAGCAGAAGCGAGTTTCATACTATCGCCGAGTGCGTCACACGGGATCCGCTGTGGACATCCCCGTTCACTTGTCCAGCCTCATATTGATGTTATCTAACGAAGCGAAAAGTGCTTTTGCAGGCTGCGCCAGGTGCTGGCCAACGACCCGAGCCTGCCTTCTGTCTGCATTCGCGACCATCAACTCGGACCTCGCCGTGACCAAGCTCGTCGAGCCCATTCTCAGTAAGGACCGCAACCTGGAGGCGTGCAAGGTCCGGCCGCTGCGATCTGATTTGTTTGTGCGTCTAAGCATTGCCGAATAAGAAAAGCTGTCTTAGTGAGTATACCCGATCTTCCCAGGATTTGAAATTGGAATCAACGGAGTGTCCTGGTCCGTTTTATCTGGATTGTTTCGACTTTTAGAGTCGCAAAAGGTCGAGGCTTTTGGGTTTCGGTATGGATATGTGTCACAGCGCACTGGAATGGCTGAGCGTTTGGGAATGAATATCATCGTTTAGCTCCAACGAAGATTGCTGAGTCGAAACATTTTTTTCCCTCTTCACTCTTATCATCTTCCTGGTGATTTGCAGGACGTCTTGAGTAGCATCTGAACGGTGGAACGTGTTTACCCCGAGGAAAAGAAGGCTTTGCGCAAGTTCCGGCACTGGCACGGGATGTCACCTGCGGAGGTGAGCTCGATAGCTTTAAGCGAATTTGCCGGCGGCGCATAGATTGAAGTGATGCAAATGGAGCCGAAAGAAACCCCGAGGCGAGAGGCCTCCAATTCTTGGTGCTCTGGTCTTCTTTTTACACACGGATGGGGAGTGTTTGAGCTGAGCTGCAAGAGCATCATTGATGTTCGAGCGGCTCCCGATTACTCAATGCAGGTTTTGAATTGGAAACATCGACGTCTTTGGCTTGCCGTTCAAGCTTCAGTTTGCCTCATCGTAGCCGTCCATTGGATCAAGTCAGTTTTACTTTCAAGCCACTTCCTGATAGACATCCATTCGAGTCACTTTGTGAACGACGTCCATACACAATCTACGAACACAACCTCAGTCGGCGGTCACTCAAATGATGCTGATGTGTTTTTGTTGTGCCACGCAGCACGAGGCGGCAGTACCCGAGATTGGATAGAGCCGGGACAAGTACGTCCGTGATAGGACGAAGCACCACCCAGGTATGCGAAAAGGCGTCCAGGACCTGAGAATCCGCACCACATCAATTGGTCAATGAACGTCATCGGCCAATCTAACCGAGTCGCCATTCTACTAATTGTAGTCCAAACGGCAATTGAAATGTTTCCGTTACAAACATTGCTATGGTGTTCAATATATGTCCGCCCGGGTCACTTTCTTGCGTGGCAATCGGTGTTGTTTCTCCGTCTCTCAACCGTCAAGGGATCCCGTGAAAGCTCGTCGGTTCGCAGCCGGTCTTCTGAAAGCAAGCTTCAGACTTTGTTGCAAGAAAGTGGTATCACGCGGTTTGGCAAGAGGATGTAGACTTGGAGCTTCCTCGGCACAAAAGGCTCGTCCAACCACTTAATGGCAGTCTGCCGCTCACGCACCCTGACGTCAGAAGATGCTTCAAAGCCGGGGCCCTTTCAATTCTATGTTCCTTCCTATGAACACTTCTCTAGACAAAAGGTCGCATGTAATCTTTGTCGCAGGGAGGCTGGCGGGGCTCCTTGACCGTGTACCGTTGGGGCCCGGCCGTCGAAAGGCCCTCCAAACGATGGAGGCGGCGCCACAACCTATTGAGGTGTCACCAGTAAAACAGGAGCCCCCAGCTCAAGAGGAGTTGCAATCCCCTGTTTCTACAGGGGCGTCTTGACTTCAAGAGCATCGGCCAGCCAGCCAGGTATAAAGTCCCCTGGCAGTGTGTCGGAACGATGAAGTCAAAAGGAAGATGACGGATAGAAGGACGTAAAAGCCGGAGCGCCCAAGAGACGCAGCTGTTGTGTAAATTGGCCGACCGTTCCGAACGATGAACGAGCAAGGCATGTGTTTTAGATTTGACGTCAAACTAACGGTACTTTTGCAGGTTGCTCGGAAAGTAGAGTGCAGGCTTACTTATCTTAGCTTGGCATACGAATACGAAGTGGATTTCTTAACTTTCACTGATGTTGTGTACAATATTCAGGATTCGAAATCTGCAATAAGCTTGCACATGCTTGACATTGCCTAGAGGCTATTCATCACATTTACAGTCACAAGCACAATCACAATGCAAGACTTGGAAAAGAAAACTATCGACCTTAACATACTTCTAGTGAAATCCGGATCGGATTGGACCGAATGATTGAGTGTATAAACGCCAGACGTTACATTATGCTCCTATGTAAAAGCCATATTGAACATAAAATGTTTGGAACAAGCTTACTTTGAGGCGCAACCTAGAAGTAGTCATTTCAAGCCTCCAGCCAGTGGCAGCATCCGACATTGCAGGACCGCATCAACCCAAGTCCGTATGCAGGGTGCGCGCTAATGGCCATGCAGCTGTACGTCCGAATCCCGCGCGGGCCTAGGGCCGCAGGCAACAGATAGATTCATGTCCCGATCAATTTTCATAGTAGAATTGTTCCATCGGCTCCGGCCCGATCTTGCATGACGTACCATGTGCGCATATACGGTCGCCGCTGCAGTGTAAGGCCGCCCGCAATCAATACCACCAGATCATCATGCTGCAGCTTGATGTCAAAACGACACCGTCTCTAGGCTTAAAAATTAGTCCTATATTGCGCACGGACCATGTGCAAGCCCACCGTGACATCACTTCGGCTCTCACATGAGACAAACGTACTATTGTAGGCTTCAAATCTGATGCTTGATCGAAGGCATAGACATGTCTTGGTCATCAGGATCGCAATACAACCAATTCAAAGTGCCTTGTTCAATTGTGCGAGATGAATCTACAAATGAGATCAGAGCCTTGCATAGCTGCCGCTCACTCTTGCATGGAGCTTTTTAAACCTCCAAGTAAAAGTCATCAAGGACTCACGGAGCTTTACACGACCAACTAACTCCAATTACTCAGATTCAATTATGAGCCACTCAAGCGTTGTGTAGCCAAAGCTGATTCTCGCAGAATGTCAAGGAGCTTGCGTGCTTCTTCATGCGCATCCTTAAAGTCCTCATACGTTATTAAATCCTCCAACTTTTTGATTACTCCTGGCACCTTGGCTATGGCTTTTCGGAACCTCTGGTCGTGCGCCACCTCACAGAGCATCCAAACAGCACTTTCCACCGTCGAATGCAAGTCACTTTCCAGTGTGTCCACAACCGCTTGCAAGGAACCAGGAGTAGATGCAATGGCCTCCAAGACCCCAGCCTCCGCCCCAACATTCCCAAGCAAGGTTACCACATCCTTTTGCAGATACTCAGTCCAGACCGGATCAGTGCCCTCTTAGGATCGAAGCACTTCACCAGCTTCTGCCAAAAACCAGGCACCATCGAGATTCTGTTGGCCGATTCGCTGTCTCTGCCAGGGTACTCAACGCCCATGCTGCTCTATCCCGCGTGGCAATGCTCGGACTTCCTAGCAGGTTCACTAACCCCTCAAAGCACCCTGACACTTCAACCACAGCCGTCGCAGAGTCATATTTAGCCAAGGTCCGCAGACACCATGCCGCACTTGCTTGAACTTCAACGTTTCCACACTCCAGAAAGCTCACCACCTTTTGCAGGGCCCCTGGCATGATTGCAATCAGCTCGCTGCTATCAAAGTCGTCTGCAAATCGGGCCAAAGAATCTATGGCAATACTCCGCACGTCTGTACTCTCATCGTCGAGGGTCAACAAGGCCCTGCAGGATGGCGGGAACCAGCTGGGCCGCAAGCTTCTTAGCCCAGTAATCATCTGCCAGACTTCCCAGCGTCGACGCGGCTGTCCCTCGTATGGTCTCGCAGTCACTTTTACAGAGGTCGAGCAGCCGCTGCAGGCTGCCCGAACAAGTTGCTATTGGCCTGCGATTAATACGACGCATCGCCAAACTCTCAAGGATATCCAGAGCAAGTTCTACCTGTGCAGATTCCTCTTGATTGCTAAGCAGGTTGACCAGCACTTGCAAGCACCCTGGAATACTGCCAATGGCAACCTTGATAGCGTCCTCAGGTTTCCCATCGTACAACAAGTCTGCCAGCATATCTAAAGCCTTCTGCCTAACTTTGCTGCTTTCACTGTCCAGAAGACCCACGATTAACTCCAAGCTTCTTGGCAAAGATCTACTCTCGATGCCCAGACCGACTATTTGACTACCCCATGCAATGGCTTCAATCACAGAGCTCAGCTCATAGTCCTGACCCTCAAGATGGTGAAGCTCCAAAGTCTTGAGACTGGGGAAGGACTTCAAAAAAGAAGCGATCTCAGTGTTTGGAACAGCAAAACCAAACAAAGACAAATCTCTAAGTTTTGCAAAGGGCTCCGGTAAACTCAAGTCATTCAGGACGACGGCCGGGCTGTGCCACCCACTCTCCCACAGAAATATGTGCAACACCACCAGCTGCTTGCATTCTTGGAGCATGACGAGAGCACGCTTCCAATCGACGCTCTTCGCTTCCTCCTCGCTGATATCCAATGACAAGTAGACCTCCTGGAGGGTGTCCTTTGCATGAGGTATGACAGACTGAAGCACAGCTATCAGATTGAAAGGCTGCTTCGCTTTCAGCACTATCTTCCTCAAGAAACCCTTGCACCCTTTGCCACCTGCGTAGCGAATAAATTGTCTCTAGTTTTGAGGCCAATCGTCAAAGTCCCACTCCAGACACCCTGTGAGGCGCACCACCTCCTGAAACCTCTTGCAGACAGCCTCCAGCCCCACCCTGTCCCAGGCCTGATCGCGCAAGAGACATGGCTTCCACAGCGCTCTCTCGAAGATGCTTTCAAGCAACGCATCACAAAGGCGGTCGAAGGCATTCTCCTTCGGAGGCGCCATTGGTCAGGATTCTGATTGCTCTAAGCACTAAGTTGAGAAAATGAACCTGCAAGTTGCAACCCAACCAGGAACTGCAAACCTGCCTGCAACGGCATTGCTTTGAATCTGAAGATGAATGCTGGCTCAGAGTCAAGACTCAATGACAAGAGTCAAGGCTCAAGCTTCTGCTCGTTAGTGCAGCTTTTGAGCCTGCGCCTGACTCCGCATTTCAAATCTTTTCCGCGCCAAGTCTGATGCTGGAGTGATCCCCCAGGGCCCAAGCGCGCAGCGCATGCGCGCGCAGTTTTGAGGCCCCTAGTGCGGGTATCACTCGAACAGGATGACAGGAAGGAGAGTTTGAACAGTTGTCGAGACCACATCAGACGACGATTTCAAAGAAGTTGCAACACTGACAGGAGGGCCGTCTTCCTGAATGTAAAAGCTCTCCTGTCGGATACAGCCCCTTTGAGTCCAAGCACAGAATTAGAATGTGGCTGAGCTGTGGGACGTCAAATGCTGACCTCATTCGTCAATGCAAGCATTCAGCGCAATAAAGTCCGAGAGGGTGGCCAACGCCATGCGGGAAGTGGACTGGGGCCTCTGTCTACCACCATCTTTGTACCAGGATGCTCCGCTGCCGACTGGGCTCAATGCAACAATCTCAGGTCTGTGCACACGAAGGAAAACTTTGATTGAGATTCTTCGCTTTGTTCGCTTGATATGCAGTCGCTTGAGAACTGCAGCATCCAAGTGAGTGGTGCACTTCAGATCGGTGTCCAGTTAATGCTGGAACATTCTTAGCTTCAAGTTGCATGTCCAATGCTGAAGGCGTGTAATGGTTGAGTTTATCAACATTGCCTTCAGTTTGAAGCGATTGTCGTACATGTCACCACTGGTATTGTCTACAGGGACATGATTTCCCTGATGTTGTAAGTGGTTGCGGGTCTGACTTTATCTAAAGAGTCGCACCAATGAACGACCTGGTGTGTCAATGGCGCCTCCACATTGCTTCATACATGCAGTCAGTACTTCACGGCACTTCTGCTCAGAGGGCATCGCTTGAAATCTTTGTGCTGGTTCTTAAGATGCATAACAACTTTCGACTTCTCCCTCTTACGCCATTATTTCAAACATTGGCAATATGAAGCTGTACACTATTGGCTTCATTATTGAAACTCCTGTTACACACTTCCTCCTGTCTGGGCCTGATGTCCAAGTTTCACAGGTAGTGTTCAATCAACAGCAGTTGCGAAGTATGATTGACAACTCAGCAACATTGATTCTTCCTTGTGGCAGCGCGCACATGCATGCGCACTGCGTGGAAGTTCTGGAGGACCACCTGAAGCCGGGGCCAGGGCGCTCGACATTGGGAGCGGCACAGGATATTTGACGGCGTGCATGGGTTGATGGTCAAGGACGAGGGGGAAGGTGGTTGGGGTGGATACATCAAAGGTGGGGGCATACGTAACTAGTGCAACTTGTGATTCTAGGGTACTGGTTGTTGTATGTTTAGTTTGGAAACTTGATAGAGGAGCACCACTGAGAGCACCAATGTTCATCTCAAAGGCTGTTTCAGTACGTCTTTATTTTTACAGCCAGTCCATAACGCCACCACTAAAAGCGATGCGTGAGTTGTGAGTTGAAGGATCTGCGGGTCCCCTGCGAGAAAGTTGGCATGGCCAGGGGTAAAGTCAAAAGCAGTGAGCGGGCTCCCAATGATTTCAGATAGAGCACCAGCGGCAAATGGATTGTCGAAGAGTATCCTCTGGCTCCCCTTGCATTCTGCCTCGGTCACAGGCCTGTTCAAGTACATACGGGGCTTTGTTTCGAGCCCGGACTCGCACCCTTTTCCTTGCTGTCTGTTTGATGTCACTAATCGAATTTCCTTCAGAGTACCTGCTGAGCTGTACCTGCCCGTAGCACGTTGAGAAGGCTGCGATCTTTTTTTCTTCCGATTCGCTAGTT